AAAAAAAAAAATGAATAACGGCGGCATCGAACCCGGGTCGTCGGCGTGCTAGCCGAGCACGTTACCACTAGGATAACGCTATGTTATGTTATTATAATTTCATTAAAAGTATATATTTTGCAAAAGTATCGTTTTAAAAAATTGCTAATTTTTCCATTTCACTGGATATCTTCTCGCTTTTCAAATATTCAGTTTTTAAACGATATTTCGATTGATTTGCCATTAACAAAAAAAAAAATTGGAATTATTTTGAAAAAAAAATGAATGATGCCGGGGATTGAACCCGGGTTGCCGGCGTGCCAGTCAAGCACGTTACCGCTAAGACAACGCGCTCATTTAAAAATATAAATTCATTAGTGGTATATCTTCAACATATTGAATAATTTTTTTCATTGAAATTTCACAAGATGTGGTTTCCCCCTTCCGTACGTGCTACAGTCGACTAAATTTCAGTTAAACAAATGAAAAACAAAAAGCATTCGTACAGCAGAAAATAAAATTCACCCCGTCGACTTGATGGACACCCCAGCATTGCAATAAAAACTTGGTTAATAAAAAAAAAACACCCCAGCATTGCGTGTTGCGCCCTCCCTCTCTTGGGGTGCAGTACTACGATGCCGCCCGGGTCACTCAAACCCCTAGAACTGAGCCTCTACTTCAGTCAATCCTCTTTGGCTCCGATTTTCAAACATTGCAATACACCAATACTCCAAAAGAAAATTCTCTAGACCGCATGTTCTCAATTTCGATTTTTTTTGGAGTCCCTCAATTTCAGAAATAATACATTTGCCATCTAATTTCAAGTATGAGTTAACCACGGTTAACTTAACGATTAACTTAACGATTAACAACTGGCCCTGACTGTCATTCAATCGGGCGTAATTGCATAATTATTGTGAAAATGAGACTGTTTTTTAGTAGCAAGTCGCATTTATTATCCACTAGAAATGGAAAATTCTGGTGCGATACTTCAAAAACACTATCAAAATGTTGTCATCGCTCCGTAGAGAGTACTATAAGCACGAAACAGGAGAAATCTCACATGTTCAAGTATTTGCACAGTAAAATGAAAGCATGTGGGCCTATAACAGTAGCTGAATATATGAAAGAGGCATTGACACATCCTACAGAAGGATATTACATGAAAAGAGATGTTTTTGGAAGTCAGGGAGACTTTATAACATCCCCAGAAATTTCACAATTATTCGGAGAAGTAAATTACTGAATTCTATACTGAATAATTATATTTATATCAAAATTTATTCCAGATGATTGGAGTGTGGGTTTTGAGTGAGTGGAGAAAATTTAGTAATGACCCTCTCCAATTAGTTGAGCTGGGTCCAGGCCGAGGGACTCTTAGTAAAGACATCCTGAAGGTTTTTAAACAATTTGCAGTTGGAAATAAAATTTCTATTCATTTAGTGGAGGTCAGCCCGGCGTTGTCCGCTATCCAAGCAACGAATCTCTGCGTTTCTTCTAAAGAAATTGAAATGAATGGGTGTTTAAAACATTATAGAGAGGGGACGACTCAAGAGGGAAATAGAGTATTTTGGTATAACTCAGTGCACGATGTCCCCAGGAAGTTCAGTGTATTTATTGCACATGAATTTTTCGATGCTCTGCCCATTCACAAATTTCATGTAATTATGATTGACACTTTATTTGCACTTTACCCGTTTCCTGTTTATCCAGAAAGAACCACTTGTCTAATAATTTCTGTATTCGTTTTCTTCCAGAAGAATAGTGGGTATTGGAGTGAAATATTTATCGATATCGACCCAACTGGACAGAAATTTAGATATGTTACCTCAAAGTCTCCAACTCTGGCCAGCAAATTGCTCATTGATGTAAGAATTGAAAATTTAATTGTTGAGATAAATCTTCTCAATTAACGAGGTAAATTGATTATTGACTTATCAATATTTTCAGGAGCTAGAAACCAGGAGTCATGTGGAAATAAGCCCTCAAACCCTCTCGATCATTGACTATCTTGCGACATTCCTCCAAGAGTGTGGTGGATTCTCACTGATTGCTGATTATGGGCACAGTGGAGAGAAGACAGATACATTCAGAGCTTTTAAGGATCACAAGCAACAAGATCCTTTAGACAATCCTGGAAATGCAGATTTAACTGCCGATGTAGATTTCTCGAGTATAAGGAAAATAGCGACTAGAGATAATCGGACAATAATATTTGGTCCAGTAGAGCAGCGAGAATTTTTGATGCAACTGGGAATCGATGTGAGGCTAAACATGCTCTTACAGAAATGTCCGAAGGAACATAGGCAAGAATTGGAAGCTGGCTACCATATGATTATTGATGAAGATAAAATGGGAACTTGTTTCAAGATGTTGGCAATGTTTCCTGCTGTACTGAAAGAACACTTGACTAAGTATCCAGTAACTGGATTTTTTGAAAAAATAGTTCTACCAACATCTCAAGTAACTTAAAAATAGTAGAAAATAAAATTTCATGAAATTATTTGAAAAATTGATTTATTCATCATTTTTTCTTCAAATGTTTCAATATTTACAATAATTTCAAGAGGTAAAATCGTATTTCCTCCACTTTTCGGCAAATTTAATGACTTTATTCCTTTGACTTTCAAAATTCTCTCGCCTAGGCTTTCTCCACATACTAGAATCCAAGTCCATCATGCCCCCAATGATCTCCTGAGCGAAATTCCTCGGAAAATGTTTCTCATCTTCGATTACGTGAGCGAATCCCCCATGGTCACCAAAGTCTACTGTGAAATATGGCAGGCCTTTGGGAATTGACTGTTTAACATCTTTTTTGGATAAATCAACGAGTTTTTTATTAGTGGACCACTCCATCTCACACTCTAATAGAGCTTTTTTGAAGTACATTGGAGCCATAGCGCCAATATCTTCAGGCATGGGGACACACTCCAATTGCATATGAGGGTACTTATGAAGACCCATAGCCACTTCAAAGAATACAGGATATTCTTTATTCTTTGCACACATTTTAATCATGGAATTTTTAAATGCCTTGAGTTCTTCGTAGATATCTTCGTCCAATTGCGTCTGACAAGGACTATGATAAATCGGTGCAATAATACAATGGTGAGGTGTTAGAGACAAATGAGAGGGGAGACTTAAATATACTTTCGTTCCCATACCAACGATAAGGTGCTTCAGCATTTCCTTGGAATCGAAACACAATTTACAATTCTCCAAACTCTTTTCCATTTTCTTGTGATTCTTGATTGCCCTCATCTTGTCTCTCAGATCTTGTTTAGCGTCACTTTCATCTCTAGTTATCCGCTGTTCGAATAATTCATCCATATCCATACTCTTTGATGCCATTTTAACAAACATGGAGTCATCTTTGTGGGAGGACTCTCCTTTCTCTTTCTGGAACATCTCTTGAAGACTGTATTTGTCATCATCTGCGAAATATCTAACTCGCTCTCCTTTATCGTGAGTTTCCATTTTTTTACTCTTTCTTCTACCACTCTGTGGCTCTTCATAACGACTTCGAGGCTCCAATGGCCTTGACATCCCCTTGGAATTTGTGATGGTGAGGATGACATCTTCTTCTTTAGATTCTGCCGGTTTAGTCACGAATTTCTTCACCTCCCTAGCTTTGTCTAATTTTTCTTTCAGCTCTTGGGCTAGCTCCATGTCCCCCATTATCTCAGCTTTCACGATTTTCGCTCCAAGTTTGTTTAATTCGTCCTCAGATATGACAGCTACAGGTTGTGGTGAGTTTAATTTTTCGCTAGCACTTCCTTCTGAAGATGAATCATCCTCGTTTGATTCTATTTTATGAGATTGAAGTTTGAGTGATGACTTCTGTGGTTCAATTTCATCATTTACCTCAGATTTCTTCCAATTATTCCTTGAAGACTTTGATCTACCAGAATAAACTGTTGAATGTCCTGCATCATCCCCTGGCCTCTTGAATCTTAATTTGCGTTTATTATCGAGAGGTTTGTAATCCCCGGAACTGTGACGTTTTCTCTCTTTGCTTCTGGACCGACTCTTGCTGCTATCTCCATGGGTTCGACTATCACTCGACGTGTCGTGACGTCGAGACACACCTGCCAGCTTATAATTGTGCTCTGCCTTCTCGATCATCGATTTGATGACATCCAGAGAGCCCCATCGCTCTTCAGCTATTTCTTCCAGGCTTCTGTTTTCTTCTGCAGCCTGTTCTTTAGCTCGTTGAAGACTTTTCTTGAGCCATTCCGGATTCATCGTTTTGGAAGTTAACGTTGAATCATTGTCATTCTTTGGAAGACCTGTTCCTCCATCCCTCCAGTGCAAATTCAGTTCTCTGGTACTCTGACCTGGCTTATCCAAAATACACGTCTGTTTATCCTCTTGTTTTTTAGGTTTTTTCTCTTTTGAAGAGCAGAGAAAAACTCCGGACAGATTCATCCACTCATCTCGTTCCAATGGCTCGGATAGTGGATCTGTCACAGAACTCGAAGATTTTTCAATCCATTCCTCTCCTTCCTCTTTGGACGAGTCGCTAGACGACTCTGATGAACTTTTCCTACGTTTTTTCTTCAATTTTCTCTCTTTTTTATCTTTCTTCTTTTTCTTCTTTGATTTCCCCGACAATTTTGCTTCTACTGATGGCAATATCCACTTGTCATCTCCCCGTTGTCGTGCCCTCTCAGCCAATGCTAATTTTTTATCATGTTTTTCCTTGGCTTCAGTTAAAATTTTTTGTCTACTATCTCTGATCGCTTGCCTCTGGGCCTCTTTCACTCTCGAACTCTCAAATTGAATGTATGACATTTTCCACAATTTTTCTTCGATTAACTTTACGACGTTTGTATAACACAGTAAACATATAACGTACCAGAATTATGTAGGTTATGTTGTTGTATGTACCTTCTAATGAAGCACACATTCTCATTTTACAAATACTTGTGACTGGATATTGATGTCACGTGATGGGTAAACAGCAGTGACGTATCCATTATTTTGAATTGTGTAGAAAATGGCAGGAGACGTCATTATTTCATTTTTACATCTCCAGAAAAGCCTGGGCATGTACTTTCTGATTTTTTCGAATGTAATTCAATAGAAGCTAATTCGCGGAACACGTGAGATACATATGTATTGAAAATATTGTGAAATATAATGTAAAGTTGAGGACGTGGTGGTGATACATACCTGAAAAAGACGGCGCGCGCAAATGCTCCCGCCCCCTCGTGTGCGTTCATTAATTTCCAATGAAATAGTAAAATAGTAGGACAGTCCTCAACAAAGATAATAATAATTGTATTCGAATTTTAATGCCCTGACGGAAGTGTCTAAAAATAACTCAGTTACAAATAATGAATCGTAATTGTTAAACGCTAATTGTGGTGTAAAGTGCATTGGTGGTGATGAAGATTGGATTGGTGAGAAAAAAATGCCGCCCATCCAGCTGTCAAACACTATAACTATAGCTTACCATAACCTTGATCGCATATGATTCTTCCAATTTGTTTACCAAGATCCAATAGTTATGAATGAATCAACTTTGGTTGGTAAATAAGCACTGAAAAGTTCAGCATTTGCATTATTTATTCATGAGGATAATTGTCCTGGGGATATTGTGAGATGCTATAAATTAGAAGGAAGAAGTGGCATAGGTGGAGGAGCAAGAGTATGTGTTGACCTAGAAAAGGTGGTTGATGACAATTGGACAACATTTTCTAAATAGAGAAATATTGTTGAAACTATTAATTGGAGAATGAATGTTGAGGCGAATCGTTTGAGGACTTTCAACAAGTGGCCTCAGGACGCGGCAGTTAACGCCTCGAGAATAGCAAAAGGTGGTTTTTATTATACAGGACAATTACTGGAAGTTCAATGCTTTATCTGTGGTATTCGGGTATCCGACTGGAATTACGGAGATCAAGTGATGGTGCGACATAGAGAGGCAGAGCCCAATTGTCCGTTTGTCAGGGATCCAGCTAGTACTTGTAATGTTCCAATTGTTGAGTCCCTTGAGAGCATCACTTCACAGCCAACTTCGTCCTCACAGTTACCACAGGAGAATGCACATGGTAATGCTGATCAAGCATCTAGGGCCCCAACAATTGTACAGAGTGAAAATGCCAGAATTGAGTATGGGAGCTTTGCACGACGACTTGACTCTTTTCAAAATTGGCCAACTACTGCTGCTGTTACACCTGAACAACTTGCCAGAGCTGGCTTTTATTATCTTCAGTCCGAAGATATGGTAAATTATAATAGAATACGATCGTTAACAACCTATTGCTTTTTTATGATATTTCTGTTTGTTTAATTGCAGGTTGAGTGTGCTTTCTGCAGGGGAATCATGAGAATGTGGGAACCTGGAGATGATCCCGATGTTGAGCATCGGATTGGCTTTCCTCATTGTAATTTTTATGTTCATCAAGAGTCAAATTCAGGTGATTAATAATTCTTCATCAAAAATTGGAAAAAAATCTATTCTGATTCTGGTCATAATACTGTGGGACAATCACATGTGTCTCAACCTTCAAAGTTCTTGCATACAGCATACCTTGTATAAATTTAAATCTCATATTTACACAGTGAGGGCTAAATATAAAGATTTTGTTAATGCCAAGACAGTCCACACGCGTCTTGTAACACATCAAGTGTAGAAAAATAATAATTGACGGATAGAATTAATAATTATTATTTATGGGGTCAGGTACTGTGTGAAATTTGATTAAAATCAAATAACACTCATAAATAAAAACCATTAATTGAAGGTGATGTATGGATTATCTATAATTATGAAAGTATATTTTTTTCAATTCAGGACTGTCAACGGAAAAAGAAGAATTAGGAAATGTCAAATTATTGTCAGCTTCGGCTGCAGATTTACATAGATTAGGAATTCAGAAACATACTGCCCCTAGACAACCTAAACATGCGACGTATGAGGGAAGATTACGAACATTCCAAGGCTGGCCGGAAAATCTTCGACAGACTCCGGAGATGCTAGCCACTGCGGGCTTCTATTATGTTTGTGAGTTGAAAAAAATTACACAATTGTTGTATAATGTCTCTAATGACGTAAGGTGTTTTTATCCAACCGAACTACCGGGTCTTAATGAAAAAAAAAGCGTATTATTTAATAATGATGTACTTAAAGCTTCAGGAGACCAAGTGAGGTGTTTCCATTGTGATGGGGGTCTTCACAATTGGGAAGCTGACGATGATCCGTGGACAGAACATGCTCGCTGGTTCCCAAAATGCGGATATGTAGCGATGGTTCGTGGCCAGGAATTTATTCGGCATTGCGTTGATAATCGACCGCCCCTAGATCCTCTGATATTTCTTGGAGTACCCGAAGATGGTGATGAAGATGTAACAGGTACATCGATGGATGCAACGCGATCCTCGGCATCACCATCAACCTCACCCAGAAGCAGACCAATTTCAGATTCCGAGGTGGAAGAGTTATTACACTCAACTCCAGCAATAACAGCCCTTCAAATCGGGTTGAATGTTGGACGGGTGAAAAGAGCGTTAAGGGAACGAATGGAGTCAACGGGTGAACCGTATACGAATGCCGATCAGCTTATTGAACATGTTCGTCATATTCATTTGACTGAAGAGAGTAATGGGTATGAAAATTTCTTATTTATTAATGCCAATCTATATTGATGTCAATGAATATTCATTGATTTTCAGACTTGACAATAACGTGGAGTCGTCGTCGTCGTCCTCCCCCGAGCTAGCAGCACTGCTGAGTCAAGTAATAAGTGTACAGTCGTCATCAGAATCAGCACGAACAAATGGCAGACAAAACGATGTGAAATGTCGAGAGAATCCTGATCACAATTCTCCGGAGCACTCGGATGACCATGGAAAAAGAGTCGAGAGAAAAGTTGAAAACGGATATGGTGATGAGCCATGTAATTTAATAGCTCTATTAATTAACCACCAGAACAACGCTTTGAATGTAATATTGATCAATCAATACTGTTGGTTTTTTCAGTATCTCTGGAGGAGGAAAATCGAAGATTAAAGGAGGCACGTTTGTGCAAAATCTGTATGGATCGAGAAGTATCAGTTGTCTTTCTACCCTGTGGTCATTTAGCCACGTGCGTTCATTGCGCCCCATCGCTTGCCGATTGTCCCATGTGTCGACAAGAGATTCGCGCCACTGTCCGTACATTTCTCGCTTAGGGTATCTCGTTACTTTCCTCTTAATGACCAAGCGATATTATGATATTCATTTTTAGCGTAAATTCCAGACAGAAAGTATGACAGAAAATATGTTGATCAAGTTAATTTAATAACTTATTTAATTGGAGATAGTTATTGTAGAGTACCAAAGAACCGTAATTTATTCAATAGTGAAATCATTATATTCCATTAATGAAGTTCAATAATTGAGTGGGATATAAAAATTATAATACCCAATGTTATCACTGATACGAAAATTGATACTTCCATCAGGAGTAAAAATTATTTTGATTGAGCAATAACAAGTCATATTTTTTCAACTTCTCTGATTTACAACTTCCAGGCTTGTTAAATAATTCCATTCTATTATTGACAACTTCATCTGCTGTTACCTGAATTAACTTTCTCAATTGAATTATCGCTGATATATTTATAATTTCAAATGATTTTTGAGAGATATAAGATCGGAATTTAGCACGGTAACCAACCGAGCCTTGGCAACCATCAGTTTGTTTTCGGCTGAAACTCCTTCAGAAAATTTAGGAGAAAAAAGTAGGATCAAACAAAACGATATAAATAGTTGTATATATATATAATTGTTCAATGTTGACTCAGTTTGATGCTAAAATACAAAAAATCCATTTAGATTGGAAATGCAGTAATAATTTTATTCATGATTCACCCGAATTTTTTTTCCAAAATATAGCCAATACCATTGGCTAAATTACTAGATAGATAATAGTACTCGGGATATTATGTATGTATCAACCATCAAAATGATTGCATAATTTTAAGCAACGACGACGTATTATACCAGGAAGGGAAGTAAAATGAGATAATGAATTTTTCTAATGAAAACGTCCGTTGCCTGTTGAAGTGCACTTTGGAGTAAGCCGATGACTTATCTCCTATTTTCCCAGAATTGATTAATCTCAAAGTGAAAATTGAGAGTTTAAAATGCCCGTTGCTGGCTTCGATAAGTAGTCATCAATTTTCATATTATAATTATTTTGATTCATCCCTGTCCTAAAGTGTAAGAAGCTGCTCCAATTTAGGGAATAAAACTGAAACTTCTTGTTATATGAGGGATGGATCGATTCATGTAATAGGGTACGTGGCCTGCGTCGTAGGGAAGCGCATTGACGCCCAAGGGGTGGGATTTACAACCCCCTGTGAGCCCTTGGAATAACAACAAAAAAAATATTACGTGTATTCGGCCGCCGGGCCGAAAAACCAACGCGGTACGCTCTACAACGTCGTGAAAATATCCTAAACCGATAAATAAAAAGAATAAAAAGTGTATCTATCGATAAAGGCATTACATCAATAAACAGCATCGGTTAACATTCTTCGAGTGCTTGGGTTTATTATTGTTAATGACTTGAGCTAATTTTTTTGTTCTTTCGTCACGACTTAACGTCCTTTTGCCGTGGCCTTCTCACTTTGTACCGATTTTGTATGTGCCGACTCCTTGGAGTAATTTTAATAGAGGGGAAAACAGAAAGTCGTGCGTTCGTCGACCGTCGGTGGAACGTCGGCTTAATGGCAGCTGGTCCCTTGTACAGCGATACCCACCTCGGATACTAGGGAAGCCAAGTCTCGACGCCATTACAAGAGTTCCCCTCACTCGTTCTCGCTTCGAAAACCTCAACGCGGTTCGTATGGAGGACTCGCCGATAACTCCAGTGAAATGTGCCAGTTCACAGTGCTAACACTCACCAGTTACCTTTATCGGTGTTTCTAAAAAAATAATCAAAACAAAAAAAAAAGCGTAAAATTCATAAGTTCCATTTTTTCATGTGAAATCATTAATCAACATTTTTTTTTTATCCTCATCAAGACAGTGCTTGAAAGGCAACTTTTTTAATTGTAGTGAATGTTTTTCACTATTTTAATAATATAACACTATAAAAAATATACTTGGAAGAAACGGGGAACTTTTAATCGAGGCCAACTGTGTTGAGCTCAACGAAAACATCACTAATTCACAAAGGAATTGGTATGTTACCGCCTACATGATAACTCATTAATTTTGTACTGTTATTTTTATTGACAATGGTATAGCAGATGGAACGGAAGATTGCACGCTTATTTGCCATTTGAATGGCAACTTATTCTAATAAAAAATCAATTACATTGATTTTTAATGCGTGACGTAAACAGCTGGAAATGATAAAGTATAAATAATCCTTCAATCACTGGATTTCCTATTTGGGCGGGACAGATACCACAGCTCTCCCACAGAACCGATCCAAGTGGTACTGGTAATTGCATTGCATATCACCATCATTCGGTTTATTTTGTGCGTCACACGTATGCAAACATCTAGACAGAATAATAATGATAAATTATATCACATAAGGCGAAAAATTTGGAATAAAGTGCAAGCATATTCATTCGTCTGTCACGCCCATTAAAAAAAAATTCGAATAAATAATGGAATGATTGTACCATGACTGTGTGTGGCCGTTTCCTGTCCCACGTTTCAACCATACAAAGAGCACTGGTGTTGTACTTGTGTACATATTTGATTGCATATGAAATATGTATGTGTGCGGGGCTTGTATATAATGTGCTGGCACACACACAGGGACTGGTCTATCTCTCTTTTAAAATCGCACCATCTCGTTTCCTTGATTCACTCTCTCACTCCTTGGCCGCCATCCGATTCTACACTGTTGCCACGCGGACTCTGCCTCGGGAATGAACTATAAAAAAATCAACAAGACAAGGACAGAGAAAAGATTGAAGCGACTTTTTTTTTTCAACGCACAAGTACACATATGTGAAAGTTAAAATTTCAATCGAAAGATGAAATATGAGTCATTTCGAAAAAAAAGCAGGAAGTGGTGATTTCAGCGGATTATTCACATGGAAAGTTTCCAGTTGGATAATTAATGTTGAAATTACTGCAGACAGAGAAACAGAGCGATAATGATTATTAAAAATGAAAACCCGTTCCGATGAATAGTGAGAAATACGTGTTGTTGACCACTTGAAAGATTGTTATCGATATTCAATACCAATATCTTTACGATTTCGCGGAATCTAATCAGATAGCTGATGCTGTACGATATTAAGAGTAAAAACCAATGACGTAGTAGAAATCGCTTCAAATGGTGATATTTTAAATCCTCGTATTGACAACAAAGCTTGTGTAGTTGTGGTACATGTTGATCTCGATTTATTTGGATTATGTTCATCCGGCAGCTGAACTTCCTCGGCAGATGGTTTCACATCCCAGTAGTTTCTAGACAATTATAGCAAGGAGAAGATACCCAAGTAAAGGAATGTCCAGAGACGGCATTCTCTCATATTTGTGTTAGTATTTGCCAACACATACTCAATGAGAAGACAGTGGAGCGTGACTTGGTGGCGATCGTACGGCGTGGTGTAGAGATATACAGAACACAAGAGAATGTTATGCAGGGGCTACAAACGGGGCCTCAATCCACAGAATACGACTTGGCAACAGCGGATTTTCTTCCAGGGGCCGGGCTGAACGTACAATACACGACGTGCCACGGTTAGCTTCCAGAGGAACGTAGAATACTGCCACAGCTTCTTGTAGTTAAAACACAGAACCGAAGAGCCTCCTCTTCGGAAAAAAAATATTGCTTCATCATGATCAGGCACAACTCATACGGAAGACACATTTTCTCTAATACACGGATTTCCACCATGAGTTCAGTCATGTCGACTCCAACACATGGCCTTCGGTCATTCTGCACTTTAGTAGCTGTATATATACATCAGCTTTTTTTTTTGCGTCACCGATGAAAGGTCGAATGAGGGATTCTGTCCGACGTATTAACACATACCCATTTATCATTCAAATTCTTTCCACGAATTCTCCCCTCCAATAATTACCACTATTGATACTATGACAGATACTGGTCACCAACATGAAGCCCCTATTTGCTATGGGTGAAGAAAGAACGGTTCACATTGAGCGATATGACGTAATGATCACGTGCTCTAAAAAAATCATCTTGTGGCATTTTGTGAAAAGTCGTAAACAAGAGAATGAGTCGGAGTGTTTTTATTGTATTTCAATGGCAAATTCAAAAAAATTTGTAAGTAAATAGTAAATGACAAGATTTGAGAGACGAGTGGGATAGATACGGGTACGGGTAAGAGATAAAAAAGAAAAAAACCGATACATTGGTAGGCGTTTGCGCATGACTATATATGTATAGTTGGGGGATGAGTAAACAAAACGATCACGCAGTCAACGGCGTGCCGCGTGGGCTGGAAGTTGCACTAGAAGTGCTGAGGACTGCAGAAGAATTCGAGTCATTCGTTATAGTACCAGGGGATGCTGTGACTCTCTTCAACTTACGATATTTCAGTTCAGACAAGGTTATATTGTAGGACGTTCAATCCCCTTATTTTTTCCTCTCTATCGTCGTTCATACATTCTCATTATTAACTTTGTCTAGTGTGATGAGAATAATAAATTTTTATTGACCTTGGTTTTGTTGTTTCTGATTGCAGGGGGATCAATCGACACGTTGATATTTTTAAAGAGGAAACAAGTTGAGTCTAAGGCTCTAATCTAATATAGAGATGATGGATATTTATGTAGGGCCTAGGAGAGAAACATTGAGGCATAACTTGACATTATTGAAACCATCGGAAAATCTACGAGTACCGGGACAATGTACAACTTCACCAACACCTAACAATCAGAATCAAAATTTAGTTGATGAAGTGGATAATCGTGATTATCGCTTTGAATCGGCGAGACTAGCGAGCTATGAGAATTGGCCAGCTACATTTATGAATGCGGCTAAATTAGCTGCTGCTGGATTTTATTATACTGGTGAGATTGATCGTGTTAAGTGTTTTGAGTGCGGTGTTGAGATATTCGAATGGGTTGAGGGTGATAATCCAATGTCGGACCATCAACGTTGGAGGTCAACATGTAAATTTATACGAAAACAGCCGTGTGGTAATGTTCCGATTGGTGTTGATCCGAGTACAGTGCCAGTGCCACCACCAAGGAGTAGAGATGTGTGTGGCTATGGGGAGGATTATCGACCAAATGCATCGCCAGACTTTCGCTCTGGGCAGAGTGGATTTGAATTTCCCAGTACAGCGAGACTAGGTAGTCTTAGATTGGCTAAGGCTAAAGGGCCAACTCATCCAGAGTACGCTAGCTACGATGCCAGGTTCAGAACGTTTGATAATTGGCCCAAGTCTATGCCACAAACTAAGGAACAACTCGCTGATGCTGGATTTTATTATACTGGACGAGGTGATGAGACCCAGTGTTATCTGTGTGGAGGTGGACTCAAAGACTGGGAACCTAAGGATGATCCCTGGGAGCAGCACGCCAAATGGTTCAGCAAATGTTATTATGTTCTCATGGTGAAGGGTCAGTCGTTCATTGATACTGTTATTGGACAGAGCGTACCACCACTTACAACAGAGGTAAATATTTTAGTTTTATTTTTACATTGTTTTTCAGTTACCTTCTACACGTGTAATATGAATTTTGTTTCATCGCTTTTTCAGGAAACCCTACAGATGCATTTGCCCAGCTACATTGAGAAAGTTAAACAACCTCCGCAATCAGAAATTGAGGAAAAGGCTGAGGATACATCAGAGACAACGGCGTCCTCATCACGGCCGAATAGCCCACCCAAGAGTAAAAATTCTGATGACGCAAGGATGTGTAAAATTTGCTACAATGAAGAACTTGGTGTTGTGTTTTTACCTTGTGGACACATTGTGGCATGTGTTAAGTGCGCACCTGGTATGACATCCTGCGCTGTGTGCCGGGAAAAGGTTACAATGACCGTTCGTGCTATAATATCTTAGTACTGTGAATCCTAGTGATTCTTCTTTTATCATTTGTTTTGTCATTGGTCCAACAGCAATTTTAAAACAAATTCCTAAAAATAAAAAATCCGAAAAATAAATCGCTGAGCGTTTCAATATCTTTGGCTGCGATAATAAATTTAATAAAGGAAAATTATAAACTCCTACATTCATTCGGGTATCGCTTTGCGCCTGCTAAATGACATGACTCATGAAACATATCGGTATCAGGCTCTGTTTCAGGGACAATTTAATGGTAATTGAATGCCATTATCTTGACGTCAGTCGTCACATGTCTGCAGTGATAATTCACTCATGCAGAGCCTTATGTTTTTCTTTTTCTTCTTCCCTGATTCGGATGCAAATAATATTTGGTATTTTTTTAAATAATTCATCATTTTTTTTGTGGACATTGAATTTGCATTAAATACCGGACAGTTCCTGATTATCGGTAAATTGCTATTTTTATGGTACATTGGGAATTGGTTATTGCCCGTCGTCTCTTACATTATAAAACTTGTAGAGATAAAAACATTGAGATAAAACAAAAAGTGAGAAATGTGAACATGTAAAGTAGAAAAGAAAAAAATAGCAAAAATCGTCATGAAGTCTAGTCGTTTGTCAGTATATCGCGTTTGCGTTAAAGTTAAAATAAAGGAAATGAAAGAATATAAATTTTACCGGCGTTTTAATTATAACTTTCTTATCAATGAAAATATTAAAATTAAAAATAAAAAGCCAATTTAAAAGAATTAATAACTGTTCAAAGTGTTCTATAATAAAAATGTAAAATGGATTATGTAAATCAGGTTTAATATGTATTACTTATTAGGGGAAAAAATGGCGGGCTCTTTAAAAGATTTTTGTGAGAAAGATTTTTTTTTACTAATTTTTCAACTATTTCAAATGGTCAAACGTTTCAAAGTGAAAAAAACATTTTAAACAATACATTATGAATAGATCGACGTACATAACGTGTGGGATTGGCGTCAAAGTTGTGTTTTTCATAAATCGTCGACGTGAGTCACGAAGCAGACGAGTTTCTGCACGTTACAAAAGCAGCACAACCATTCACACATTGACGTTTGGAATTCATGAAACAGACCATTCATTCGCCCCTATTCACCACTTGCAAGGGTATAACAAAAATTACGCCTAGCTTATATCAAAACTGAAAATTCAAATCTAGAAATGTTAGAAATGCCTCTAGCGGACCGGAAATTTCAGCACCGCTTTCTTTCCATAACGTTGTTAATTGAAAGAAACTCGAATATATATTTAAGCGCTACACTCGTAAAACATCCATTTATTTTAGCATTTAACGGGTTTATTGGTTGGGTTATAAGACTTATTAAATTTCATCAGCTAAATCATACAAACTTAAAGTTTCATATTTTTTCTATTTTCATTTTTTCAATTACGCATGGCACGTAACTGTTCTCGGGTGATATCAACACAACAGTTGACAATTAGATTTATCATACAATTTTAATTCGGAAAAAAAAACTAAGCAGAAATGAAATTGATTCAAAAATTACGAAAATTTATCAAATTTTTTTGTTTCCTTCTTCTTTTTCCAATTTTTCGTGTGCCTTGTTCCCTGACCATTCGATATCTAATGGACCTTTGATACCCTTTGTACAATCTAAATGAGAAATTGCAGTCAAGATAGTCTTCTCTCTTGTAAGTGGAAAAATTCAATGCAAAAGTTAATAACAATGCAAATAAACAAACTTTGCCTCAATTTAATATGAACAAAGGATCCATTCATTTATTAAAATAAGCGAAATGTTCAATTTCGAATAAAGAAACTAAAACAATTTCTGGGTCGGATTCGTAATGTGAATTCCATAAATCGTGCTAGTGATAGAACATCCATTTAGAAATTTATTTTATAGCACAAGTTCATAGATCTAAAGGGAAATCAATTCCAAATATCAGGACTTTTAAATGACTTTTTTGTTAGTAGATTAGAAACTCATGCCTTTATTATACAAACGTGCGCAGTAAATCGTAGGTTTATGTTGAAGAAAGTCCGAAAGATGATATGAGTGATGACGATATAACGCGTTAATATCAGTATTTTCATTGCAAAATATTCTACTATTTTTGAACAGAATGTGATCTATTTCGTTCCTATTCATTTATTTTCACTTTTATTCCTTTATTGAATAATTGAATAAAACAATTGTTTTAAATTGTGTCTATTTTGGAAACGCGATTCGATTTTATTTCAATTGATCTCGTCAAATAAAAGAGAAGAAGAAGAAATCCAACCATATCAGACGTATTTTCCAGTTAAATGTATTATGATTATGGATAATACGTTGAGTTATTACAAAAGTTTATTGTAAAATCATGTAAATTACTATTGTATGAGCGTGAAAAAGTGGGTGAAATTTCATTTTCACAAAGAATCGGGTCGCGTTTCATAAATACAAGATGTTAAATTCATGTTTATGTACAAAAATGCCTATCAAACATCTCTTCTTCATTACAAAATACAAACAAACAAAAATAAAGTGTCATTGTATTTATCATTTATATCAACCGTACGTATGTACACGCTGATTATATAATATACATTAATATTGAAATAAATTGAAAAACAAAAATATAAAATCGAAGATGTTGGTTTTTCCTCCTCGATTGCCCTTGACAATAATATTTGGATTTAATAGTAAAAATGACTTGATTTTTCATCTCTTATATTTTTATTCTTCTTAAAGGTGTATATAAAAAAATACCGTAAGTCGCGTTTCAAATATTAGTTGATTGTGCATTTTTTATCATCATGCTGGTCTTGTTGTCTGCATGAAGAAAATGCAACAGGGCGAACCGGTATCACGAGAGTCAAGGGACCAGTTTTATGAGGCCCTTGCATTCCATTCTCGTGGGAACGATCGAGCAAATGTACAGTATGAACGAACGCCAGCCTCTCAGCCTCTCGGTCCATCCTCTCTCTTTTCTATACTATATTTTCGTCCAACTACGTGGCATGGTACGTAGTAGCTGGAAATATCCAGCACAGAGAAGTCGATTCATTCATCTATACAGAATAGTCTAGCAGCATCCGGCTGACATTCCATCAGCATGAAAACATCATTTTAGTCGGAATCTTATTTGTCATTCATCACCTAATCACCCTAATCAGCTGAGGATTTCAACGAAATTACACTACTAATGAGTTTCTTTTCTTTTTTCATCGAGAACATTTTATGATGAATTAAATTAATTATCAAAATTAATTCGTTTTTCAATTTTACAAATAATGTTTTTTATACTTATGCAGAGCGGAAGTCATCACTGATTATACCTGCAGAAAAAGAAGCTTTTAGTTTTTGAGATAGCAGGATTTTTTGTTTAAAAAATGTCATTAGACGAATGTGAGTCTGTCAAAAATTTGCAGTGTGGGTGTTTTTGCAGTTGCCAAGTTTTATGAAATTCTCTGGTGGTTCACAATGTCTATTTTACGACATGCAATGCCCTCTGTTGTAGAATTGCTGCCTTAACCAAACATTCTATAATGTTAGTGGCAGGTCTTGCATTTTTTTTCTCCTCTGAAGAAACGAGTCGTCAGAGCTAATTGTTTTCAAAGTGTTTTTCAATAAATAAATCAATTGTTCTACATTTTTTAAAAATACAATTATATGTAAGCTTGAAAGTATACAATGCCAGATTTATTCGATCTCGCAAATTTAATAAAGAACGTGAGTGTTGATGCTGTGAAAATAAAACAAGAGCCGGGCCTCCCTGAAAAATCATCAACTGAAATTTTGACAGAATTATTCAGTACCTTTGACACCGACACTGCTGACTTGAACAATTCTCAAGAAAATGAAGATGATGATAATGATGATGGGGATGTTGACAAGTCAAAGAAGAAAAAGAAGAAGAGTAAGAAAAAACATAAACACAAGGAGAAAAAACATAAGAAAAAGCAGAAAAGTGGGAGTGACAGTGAGCCCGATAAAGACGGTAAATACCTCCAATTAATTAATCCTCAGTTAATTTTCTCTTCAATCCAACAATTATTTAATCAACAGGAGTAAAGAAGAAGAAAAAACACCGGAAAAAATTGAAACGGAGAAGAGGGTCAGGCTCAGCTGATTCATTAGATTCAGTTGGGCCGATTCACAAAATAAAGAGAGAACACTCACCTTTAAATACAAAGAAAGGAAATGAAAATCATACACTAGCTGAGACGATGTTTGATCCACATGGAGACGCCGAGAATGAATATGATCCAAAAACAAATGGATCTGAAAGTCCCAACTTACCATCGATTTCAAGGAAAATTCAAGATGATCTTGATGACTCAGTGGCTCCGCGATTACTCGGTAAATGCCTCGATTCATACAATTCTTCATCTACACTTGTTATTCTCGTTTAATCATATAATAATCTTCGTTTTGTTATTGGCAGAAAAATCAGATCAACCGTCGAAGCCGAAAATTTTAATCAAAGACTTGAAAAATAGTGTTGTCTATAATGAAACGGTAAAAGAAGTTGAAACCATAGAGAAGGAAAAAGCAGCTCGAGTGGAGGATGGAGAAATATCAGAGAGTGAGGATGATGAAAGAACCCCAACATTGAGTCCAACTCCTCCTTTAGATTCTTTCGATTTATCAGGTAGTGCCTCTTCAAGTAATACTAGGAATAATAAAAAATCTAGATATCACAGAAACGGTAGCCCAACAGTGAGCTCTTCGATGAAAAAAGATCTTCGGTATATTTTGAAGAAAAAGGAGAAGATTAAAAAATTGGAGAGCGACAGAAGTTCTCGTAATGGAGATACATCTAAAGATAAGAATAAAGATACACATGGGAAAATTTTGAGGAATAGAGATACTGAAAGAAGAACAAGTAGTCACTCAAAAGATAAGAAAGAATTAGACTCAATGAGCTTTTATGGTAATAAGCGAGATTGCATTGTCAGGAATACTGAGAGAAGACACAAAGACAGAAGCGATGAGAAAAGCTCCACAAGGAGTGGAGAGAGGAGCCGATATCGCTCTGATCATTCTGCCAATGATCGAAGCAGAAGTACGGATAAACATCGACGGCGAAGTAGAAGTAGAGAGAGAAAGTAAGATGAAAATCGAATAAATGAAATTTATTAACATGCAATAATTATGTGATCGTCTTTTTTATTTAATTTTATTGCATTAAAAGGGATCGAATTGAAATTGACAAGAAGAAACTACTTGAAATAGCAAGGCGAAATGCTATAAATATGATTAAACGGGGAACATTACCTCTCGCCCAGCAGGACAAAGCTATTGCTGCCATTCAGGCTGGCGGTAAAACTGTCGATGAATTAATAGGTATCAATTATTGATTCATATTACACTTGTCACCTTTGATTTAGTCATTTTCATTTAATACTTTCGATAATTAATTGTTGATTAATAGTAAATTTTTTTCGCCAGATTTCTGTAAATCTCTTTCAAAATCTGAAGCTCTTGGTGAGCTATCAAGTGTTTCCTCTGATGAAGGAGGGAGTGGATCGGAAAAAGGTTTTCACCATCCATTCTTGCTAAAAGAGCGACCAAATTCAATCATAATGAACATACGAGTGAGTATTAATTAATCTGATTCTATTATTATTTTTGATATTATTTTTCATTGTTTCGTTGAAGGACTCTAAACAAATACCCACGAAAACCTTTCAAGAGAGAACAGCTGAATCATCAAATCAACTTCGCCTCCAATTTCCAGTGTCCAGTGGTCAACACCATCGCAAAACTGGTTATTATCATCGTTATTTACTTGCAGATTGTTTTTAATTTTCCTATTACAATTAGTGGTTTTATTCTATAGAAAATGATTGGGTGGACGTGACTCCCCCTCCACCACCAGTTAAAAAATCAGAGCCAAAAAAGCTATTTGTCCCAGCTGTTACTCCAGCGGTAGAAGAACCATTTGCAATACTTCCACCACGTGCACATTCAATATCTGCTGAAGTATCAATTTCTGAACCAGTGGTTACTCCATTAATAGGTCCAGTTGCTCCACCAGGTGTCCTCCCAACGACTCAGCAGACTGGGGTTTTTTCCCAGTTACCAGTAGAAGTACATGAATAATTAATTAAATAAACTCGGGAAAATGACAAAAGAATCTGCTGTTAATTACGAAAATGTTTAATGTGATTTTTGATAATTGACCAATTGCTTTATAACAGCAGAATGTTGACATCGGGACGATAGTTTCTCAGCGTTTGGCAGCCATGAGAAAACTCCGAGAGAATCCAAATGATGTAGAAGCCCTCAGTGAGATGTATCACGCCCAGAATGAGGTATGAAATATAAAGACCAGCTATTTGAAAAGAGAATAAGGTTTAATTATAAAACAATATTTACAGATGAGAAATTGGGCGGAAAGTAAGCAGATGCCAGGTCAATTCACTGGTAGCACCGGTGTTAGAGTACTAACTCCAGCTGAACTAACAGCAGGTTATCAAGCATGGGCTCGTAAGGTAATTCTTCCCACAATAGACCAACCTTTAGCCTTGCAACAACCGCCTTCGTTAAAATCAATTATCGTGGTTGGTTGCGTGTAACAGATTTTCAGGTACAGTCTTGGTGATGAGACTGTGTCGTAGGCACAGACCATTTCTCGGAGGAGAGGTGGATTCTGTGGCTGCGCGGACACGGGAGTTACGTTGTCTCATTAATAAGAATTCACTGACTTATTTATGCCCACGTATTTGTCAATATTCGACATTAATAAGGATTATGATTATAATGAATTGGAAGAGGCAACGAACTCCCGTGAGACTACCGCTAACTATAGTCAGCTTCTCGTGATGTAGGAAAACATAATGCCGATGATTATGGAAGCTGGAATACTTAGCTCTAGTCTGCATCCACCTGAGGATTTGTTACAGGCAAATATACGCTTCAGAGAAGAGACATCATCTGCTGCCTGATGTGATAATTTATGATTAATAAATCACTATTGGTAAGTATCCCAACTCCTTGTGGAGAATAAAATTTCACAAATACTTGTTTCTCAATCATCATCTATATTTTAATCTTACTTAATTATCCCTCATCTTCATTTAGAAATATGGAATGACGAAAGTAAAATAATTATTCTATTTCATTTAATAAAGAAAGAAATTTCAATTCTCAACTGTGACAACGAATATATCCTTCAGGGATTTATTTAGTATTAATGATAATGGAATTGAAATTAGGATCAACTCACATCTGCACAACCTGTCTCGGGGGGGATGGGAATGGCATTACTGCAAAAGATGGGATGGCGTCCGGGAGAGGGTTTGGGAAAGAATAAGGAGGGGACTCTCGTGCCATTGCAGTTGGAAGTCAAATTAGATAAGAGAGGACTTGTTTCTGATCAAGATGTCGGAGTAAAACCTGGCAAAATGACAAAACCTGTTGTACCAACGATTAAAACACTGGAAGGTCTCTAAAATTATTTATTTAAAAATATTTAATTACCAAATTAGTGAAACAGGTAACGCGTAGAGATGATAATCAGCAATCATCTACATGAAAATTGTTTTTCCAATCATTCAGGTAAACATCCGGTATCTTTACTCGGTGAATTCTGCTCAAAACGCAAGTACGGAGCTCCCGTTTACGAGCTGTGCTTCGAGTGTGGACCAGATCACAAGAAAAATTTTCTATTCAAGGTACACTTATAATTAAAGATTACCCTGAATTTCATTTTAAAAATTGTCTAATACGATGCCTTTTTTTCATATACACATCAAGGTGATAGTCAATGGTATCGAGTACAAGCCGAGTGTTGCGAGTCCAAACAAAAAGCAAGCTAAGGCTGAGGCCGCGCAAATTTGCTTGCAAACTCTCGGTTTGCTATCTACATAAATTATTTTAACATGTCCACAACAAAATGACAAATTCAATGTATGTAGATAAATTGTACATTTTCTGATACTACAGATATTCTGTCTGTAACAGCGTCTTTGATTTTTAAAGAATAAAATCGAAGTGTAAAAAAATGTTAATACTGTTGAAATCTTATCTCCCTCTTCCATTTCCACGGAAACACTTGGATTTCAACGAATTATACCTCTCGGGACATGTAATTTGGGCACTATTTCGCACCCGAGGATGGCAATCATGAGGTGTTGGACGGCAATATCGTATGTAAGTGGTCTCACCTAGATGAAGAATTTATCGTTCGACAGCACGTTTCGGGTTACCAAACCAGCTCTCAATTGTAGCCTATTGAACCTCTTGAACGAGAGACCTGAACATATAATAATACCTGAATAAAGAGGAAAAATAAAACGGATAATGCGAGAAAAGTAGTTCCATTGCAACGTATGTAGTTAATTAATCACCGGAGTCGTCTCCAAATAAAGCTCAAATCATGAGAGCTGACTAGTACCAGATGTTCTTATAGTGGTAAACGAAGCGGACTTGAGGCGTTTCCATAAATTCATCTTCGCCTTGGACCACCTGACTGCTTGCCAACTGTTGACGAGAGATTCATCTCGACACGCTCCAAGTAGACTGTCAAATGATATTCAACATTTTGCAGACACAAATTCAAAAGTGAATTTTTCGATAATTCGTCATATTCGAAAAATGATGTCAAGTGCTACCATGACATCATCCAGAATCTAGATTATTGAACTAAATGACTTAGCAATAGGTACAGAAACATTGGGTAGTCTTCATTCTCCGCGTGTGTGCAATCGCATGGAACGAAAACTCATAGTGATCTCAATTGGCCATTACGTCGTCATAAATTCATTTCAAGATCTATGAAATGGCTTACCCATTTATTACATGGCAATGGCATTAATGCATTTCGAGTGTTGTATGTTTATCAATCGTTTACTGTAACTAATGAATAAATAAAAAGGGAAGGAGAAACGTGCGCCATTTATTTGGGCATTAATCGTGGGCGTACGGATGTCCCCGTGGCAAATTAGCGTGACGGTCACACGAACATCATGAGATAAGACATAACTCTCACATGGCTATCAATACCGGACACATTAGAATACGATACACACATAATCGGCCTTGAAAAATAAGTACATGCCGAAAACTGGCACGATTTTTATAACGAAATCTCAATAAATTTGAATCATCAGAGCGAATTAGAGTGGAAACCCTTCGCTAATGTATCACTCTTTGAGGCGATTGTTTATAAAAATGATTAAAAATAAAAATAAAAACAACGGGCAATATTGTTGATTGCAGAGTTGGAGAGAATCTATAGATCAATCTGTTTAAAATGTGAATGGTATTTTAGGGAAGAGGGAGATGACCCTGGGGCGTACGAATTCATCTCACAAGAGAAAAGCACCCGTTATTCTCATTTTCCAATAAATAACAATTTAAACGTCTGCACGTGGACGATACACATGCAGAATCTGTACAACTAAAATGCATTTCATTTCGCCATATATAGCAATTGCATAATGACGCATCGAAAATTATTGTGGCTGGCATATGTGGCTTGTGCATCAAGTGGATATAGTATATTCCTCTGCGGGGGATAATGCGAGTAAGTAGAGCTCATTCGTGTTGCTTCGAGGAGAAAAAAAAAATCATATGAAAAATAACATAAAAGGGAAGACGGGCATTATCGTTCACGATGGAATAACAGCGATTACGGGTGTGTCTTGGGATTCTGGACTTTATTATCTCCATTTTGACGCGTTTAACACCTGAAGAAATATTAGAGGAGAAAAAAAATTTATTGCACGTCAAAGAAAATATATGGCAGTTCAAGAAACATCTTTATATTGATTCTAAGTGATTCTAAATTCGATTTCGAGATGCCAACACCGAATTTAACTTTTTTTCCTTTTTTATGCCGAACTCACCATGGAGTAAAACAAAAAAATGCCAATGATAATAACAATAACTGATAATAAATGGGTTCAGGGATTATGAGTGCATTACCTATAGATGGATGGGCACGAGGAATGGGGTCTTTAAATTGATTGACCGGTGAGTTTACGGCTCGTGCGTCAGTTATTGCTGATACCCTCCTCTTGTCTCTTGCATTTTTCTTCCATATATTTTATCCCCACCGTCATCTCCATTATTGATACATGAATATATTGCTAAAGTCAAAATCAATGGTTATCGATTGAATTTAAGTGACTACCATGGGATCCATATGATTATGATTTTTAATGGACATTTATCATAATCTCACTATTAAAGTTTTAGCGTGACATTTATTACCGTGTCCTTTAAATATGTCATGTTTCCTTTTATTTCTTCGAACATTTTATTTTAATCGTGCCTTTGCACTCTAATGTGCCACGAGAGAAATCCAGAGTGCTGCAAGTGATACGAATAAAAATTGAAATTAATTAAAAACGATACGTGGAACGAACGAGCGACATACGAATGATGATGCCTGACTAAATCGTATTATTACTTCATTTCTCGGTACGAATTTGTCTGATGAGTGGAAAGAGTCCAGCGCTGGTGTTGTGGATGCTGTAAAAAAAATTAAGAAGTCGATATTTTATTTTCCATTGTGCTTCAGAATTTTTAAATAGACAGTGGGTTTTTAAGAACCACCATTCCCCAATTGACCGCGCTATTTTTCTCATTGGTATTAATTTCTATTGTGAATTATAAAAAGAATTTCTCCATGTCTCTCAGGTTTCAAACTCGTCGAGGTTTTTCTCACCGAATAAATCTGAATGAAGAGGGAAGGCGCCTACAGCTGATAGTTGTGCCACAATAAAATCCCATTATAAACTTGTAAAAAGAAAAAAATGCCGATTTCTCGAAAAACTGACAGAATATTCTTCGAATGTTGAAGTGGGCGTGCATGACACTCAATAGTGATGAAAGATGTCACTTTGAATACTTCGCACAGAGGGCATTAAAGCCCAATGTTTTTCTTCTTTCCAAAATAGTACCAGATGTCACGTTGAATATTGTTATTGATTTTGAACGGGAAGTATTTCTCCCCGTTCCATTTCGGAACAATGAGCAGAAAATAAAATTGATGGATAATAATAAAAGACGGGTATCAGTGCATAAATTCCAATTAATTCCGTTGACGAGGTGGGACATTGTTAGTCACTGAAGTTGTAAAGACTTTTTTTTTATCATTCGACAATTGGATTTTTTTTTTATTGGCAGCATATCTGATAGGGGATTTATATATTGGTGTACATCAATAGTGTATATGAGGCGTCGATCGAAAAGGTACAGATTGTGGGGGGTTGGGGGGGCATTTCTATAGATTGGGTGCGGCTTGGAAGCTCTTACAACGGAAAAGGCACATCCCGTGGCCTGTCAAGTGACAGTTGAGGATATACCGGGTGCACGAACGAGCGCGAGGTCGCGCGTCCATCCTCGCCCATCCGGTCAGATTCATCGCTCACATCATTTTATCCTTTTTTTACTTCTTTTTTCTCCTATTTTTTTTCTCCATTTCTCCTTATGTCAACCAACTGACGTACGTCATCTTATTCGTACTTAAAAAATCATTGCACTTAAAGTGCCTTAACCTCCCGTCAATAATACTAAGAGCCCTCCGAGATTTTTCGACGCTTTCAGAGACAATGCACGAGTTGTAAAACAATTAGTCAATTTGGTATTGTCAATGTTAATTATTATTTCAGGATAAGTGGGAGGTCTCCCCTTTGTGGTGATATCCCACGTGTGGTCCCCGTTTGTATATCCTAGATAATACTCTACGATTAATTTTACATTTCATTCTGATGACTGGATTTATGTCGAAATTGAATGAACATGAGGGTGTCGATATTTTGAATAAGTAGTGGATGTCAAAATATTCAATAGGTTTTGATGGGATGAATTATTAATTTAGTTCTGGTGAAAGTCAAGGTGGACATGCAGTTATAAAAATTATTCACCAGTGATAATCGATAGCTATCCCTCATATTTGACGAGCCATCATGTACCAAAGATTAAATTTGTTATCCAATAGCAATTCAATCATAGTTTGATTGCTTGACAAATTAAGGGTGGTTTATTGAAAATTACTGGGAAAATGGAGGATATGTGTAGAGATGAGGAATATTGGGGGGAGATAAAGTGAACAATTGAATTTTTGAAAGGAGGTGTATATAATAGCGATATGAATGGATGATATTTTTAAATATGGTCTCGATGGAAAATGGGGAGGTGAGTGGAGGTGGGTATGTACTAGGGGTATATATATATAGTGGTGGTAGTGGTCTACCATCTCCCACGCGTAACTGCTATCATTCTGGTTGCGGTAGCCTTCGAGGACGGTTCATGCTCCACGCGCCCTCACTCCTCTGCCGCTTTTCCTCGCGTCCACTTCTTCACCACCTCCTCTCATATTTATCCACCTTCATTCTCCCCTTAGCACGTGCCATCCACTATTCTTTATTATCCACAAACATGATGGTACATATCTAGATTAGATTCAATTTTTCGATAATAATTCGAAAGCTTTAAAATTATCTCCCGCCAGTTAGAAGAATTTTTTTTTTTTTCAAAACTCACGACTATCTGATGGAAATAAAAAAATCCAGTCTAATTGTCACGTAACGAAAAGTGAAAGAAATCCCGAGAATCAACTAGAAACTTTTTAGTGAATTGAATGAGTTATTCGGATTTTTATCATTTATTTATGAGGAACGTAAAAAGTGACTTGGGTTGACAGTTGAGGAATTTGTGATCACGGAAATAATTGTATCAGTGCTTTCACATCGATGGGTGACACTCGCGATTTCTCCTGTGCATCGCATAGAGCTATCGAATTTTCTCACGTTTGTTTTCCTTCTCGAGTTCCTTCTGGACCCAATGCATTGTGCAAAATTTTGCCAACTTTTTAATCTGAAATGCCGTCTGTGTTGTTATTAAATTGTCTGTTTGTGAGTCAAATGTGCTAACAAGAAATTGAGTGGGAAAGTTGTATCATGGAAATAATTTCTGGTGAGTCTATTGTTATTTAAAAAATTATTATCCCATCAGTCTTTATGGATTTTTTTCCGGAATAACATAAATTTTCATTTCATTCGGTAGGACATCATCTGATATCAGAGTGAAATATATAGAGCCATGGAATCTTCAAGAGATCCACGATGCGATTTATCACAGTGTCAAGCTGAGAACGGCAACTCCAGTTCCAGTTCCAGTTCCAGTTCCAGTTCCAGTTCCAGTTCCAATTCCAATTCCAGTTCCAATTCCAATTCCAGTTCCAGATCTAGCTCCAGCTCTAGCTCTGATTCTAATTTCAACTCCAGTTCCAGCTCCAGCTCTAGCTCCACTTTCAGTTCTAGTTCCAGTTTCAGTTCCCGTTTTAGTTCCAGCATCAGTTCCAGCTCCATCAACCGGAAGTTAAAATGCGATATACCAACGCATGGAATCAACAGTGGCTCACGGTAAGTGCTCACAATCTTTTCAATCTTGATGTGCATTTCACTAACCATTAAGAAAAAAAAATATCGCCAATCCGCGTCGATCGTGTGCGATGAAGAAGAAAACAATCCAATCCTAGATTTTCAAACATAAAAAATCCCTCTCCATTAAGAGCATTGACTCATAAAATAATCCACATTTAATTCCTCCGATAAATTCATGACGAACCCATAAAATGTAATTTCCTACTGATAAAATCACCAAGAAATAAACGCTTGATATTCAATTATGATGAAGAAGTCAATTAATTGAATCTATAGAAAAGGTGAATGGGTAATTGAATTATCGGAGCCCCCGTCCTTGTCCCTCTAGGCTACAATAGACGAATCAATCTCATCGGGTATTTAAAAAATATTTCGAAAGGGGAATTAAAGGGAAAAAATGTTGACCAACTCGTGCAATAGATAAGACCACATAATAAGACGCGCTCTGACTCGCGTGACTCGTCGAATCGATGGATCTTTAGAGCCAGGGAGAAGACTTACGGCTGTGGCACTTACAGTTCCGTTGGGATTCAATTTTACTTTTATTTTTTATTCTGCGGTATTAAAGCCACGTACGAAGATTGGAAAGATGCATAACAGAGAAGGCCATTTCCGTTCATCACTTGCTCCTGCATTATTTGAACTTTTAGCCGCAGAAACAACTCAAACTGATAAATGCACACACTCTTGGAGAAATAAATTTACCATACAATCGAGAAAACACCTCATAAACCAGTAAAGCGATGGTTATTCCATGGACAATGAAGAACCATACAATCGGTATTCAGAGAACATTAGGAAAATAAGCGGTATGATTTTTTTTCATTCGATCTATTTGCTTGATTTTTATTTCTACCTCTCGATTATCAATAGACTAATCAATAGAACATTAGAAATCTTACAATCAATGGTGGAGCTAATATCAAACTCCCTGTTAATAATTTTCAGGCTGTCACATTTTTCGGGAGTCTGACCCAAAGAACAATTTATCATTCATTATCCCGTAGTCCCAAAAGTTCTAAAAAGTAGAATTCGATTTTGCTTATTCTCGGTGGTCAATATAATGAATATAATGATATATTCGTAACATTTATTTGAAGTTGGGGGATTAGTGGAAATGAAAAAAATTGATTATGGAATCAGTTGATCAGTTGAGTTGAATAAAAGGACGTTGGGCTGTATGTGGACGTAGGTTGAACAGAAAGTTGTGTATTAAAAATAATAGGAGGAGTGTATGGATGAGAACTTGAGTATGAAGTGCATAACGATAGAGATAATGAAACGTTGAGGACCGATAGCCGTGGATAAACCGCAGCTCGTTGGCTCGTTGGCTCGTTGGCGGCTGTTGGGCTGATGAATCTCCGCCGGTGGCAAGCCATGAAAACTGACTATGAGTACAGACTATTTAACAATTTTTCTCCACTTGGCCTCCCTCCATATTACTTTATATTTTCCATTTCTCCCCCTTCACTGTCTGCCTTTTTTCACAAACCGGTGATTAGAAGTTACGCCTCTTCGGGTACCAACGGGGTATCGATTGCTTCGTTACTCGTTAATCGCTCGCACGTCTCGTCAATCAACTGGGATTCGACCTCACGTTTACCATATCTCCTTTGCTTTATAGAGATCACTCCAGTCTTTGTCTTGAATTCACTTTACTTCGAGTGCGAGTTAGTCAACTCAGGCTATTTCTCCTTCCTCTGTCTATTTAACTTTTCAAATAAAATCTTTTCTTTAATCTTCAGAGTTCACTTGGAAATCCGTATAAACATTTTTTTCACGGGGAAATTTCACTTATCTTGAGTACACTTGACCTAATTTCGTTGCGTACTATCTTTTTTAATATTTTGTAAGAAGTTGTGGAGGTACCTGTGATTACTCGGTCTACTATTAACCGGTGAGAGACTGTGGAAAATAGTCGAACAAACGAGATTGAGTGAAATTATTTATGTGAATAGTTAATTGGTTCAGAAATAGTGGGCAAATGTTTTCATACTTTTTTGTGAACATTCTCTGTTTTTTTTTTTTTTTAGTTTTAAAATTGTTTTCTCAGCGTCTCAGAGCGCAGAAGGGATGGCTCATGAACCCCATGGACATGTAATCGCTCATCACAGATATATAATGATGATCATGATCGGTCATTGGGCGCACTCTCGCCAAGTATCTAGAGCCCACCAATTTACCACTTTAAGACCGACACGAGAATTTAACGCTTCACAATGAGCCGCGAAACTCGAAAAGTGTGGGCGTTGAATGTTTCACGGTATGATAAGATCGTCAATTATCTGCGGATACATAAAAATAATACCAATTTGAAATATCGAATTATTCACAGGAAATAAAATAATCGGAAATACTTGCGACGTAAAAATAAAAAAAAAGAGAATAAAAATAAAAAAAAGCTCACACATTGTGAATCCCATCGCATCGCAAAAATTGCAGTAACTATGTAGGATGGATTAAATTAATCAATGAAACTTGAAATATGCAAATTTCACCGCACTTATGACACACCATTTAATTGAGAATACGAAACGGTGATGATGGTGAATATGCGTCAAGACTATATTCCTCGCCTTGATCCCGCGTTATGGACCGTCTCGACCCATCAGCTGAGCAAAAGACGGACGATGATCTCGCCAAAGGCTTTTGCCGCCTCTTCTCTCATTTTATCTTTTTCCATTTTCCCTTTTCGTTTTTCAGTTGTAATTTTTTTACTTCTATCCTCTTTTATAACGTTAAGGGCGTGACTGCAAATCGACGCAGGATGAGAAAATGAGCAAAGGAAAAGCGGATGGAGAGCGGGGTAAAAAAATATTGAACGGATGGCAAAAGTTCTGTGCAATCAGTTCAACATATCATATCATCAAGTGGAGTTTATCTTGAACACCAATGAAAATTCACATTGGGGACTCCTGCGATATCACTCTCGACGCCTCTGGAACAGCTATTACAAGGTCCCTCGATGGAGCTTGTAATTGCATCAATGATTCATGTCGCCTCCGTTACAATTCGATAAATAGAGATGAACCGAGAATGATTGGCATCTCTAATTAAATCAATGGCTTTATTGAATAATTTATAATCGATGTCTTTGATGTTGGTGTCGCGAATTAAATTTTTCATAGCAGCTTGACACGAGATGTATGAATTAAGAACATTATGCAATCGACAAACATCTTGTCATAGTGATCTCTTGGGGATATATCACACCACTTGGGGGTTATTGTGAATTGCGCCAGTGAGCGTGTAAAAGTGCACTTGAGCACCACACACGATGGTTATAATATTCTGGCCTTGTACATTATGTACTCGGCGATACTAAAACGGACAAGGGATCTGAGCGAGTACATGAGTTGTCCACTGTCAAGTTTAAACTGCCTTCATCAAACTTATCAGTAAATTCCAAAATAAAAACTCTAAATTCAATATTAAATTTGCTAAATAATCACAAATTATCAGTCTTTCACAGACAATATCTCATTTTTGCGGAGAATTAAAAGGTGACACTTGAAAATGACTATAAATTCCATGACATCATACCCGAGTGATGAATGCGCAATTAAATTAATGGCCTCTGATGAGGGATGATACAATGTACAATACCAAAAAAAAGTTGTGATTTTGTCTGTTGTTTCATTATGGGTCAACAAAGGGTGTGGCAATTTTCATGGATTAATGGTATTGTTCGTTGTCCGATAGAAAATTATGATCGCCATGCTGAGGAGTCTGGGACTGATCGACAATGAGATTGGGACTTGGGACTATAGGGACTTATAACGGTGTCATAACATGTGAATAGAAAAAGTCATTTGTATCTCATCGCCTCATCAATGCTCAATGTTTTCAACTTCTGAACTCAAGTATTCAATAATAAATACACTTACCAATTTATCCTTGAAATGTAACATTGGCTTCTGGCTATATATCCCAGGCTTTGGTTTACGCGATTTAATGCAGAACGGGATGGGGTATTTGTGGAATGGATTATTTATTCGTCGATGGCATTGGCAGATACCGTGAAATACCGAATTTATTTAAACAATACGACTTCCGCTGAAATTTTTCTCTCTCTGTTGATTTAATTCTTCTTCCAATGAAAAATATCAATAAGTGCACAATCAATGGTAAAATAAACTGAACTCAAAATATAATTACAACCTTCAATTCTCAACTCGTCTTGTATTTTTTTCTGTAATTGAACCGGAAGTGACGGGGTTTATCGCTCGTTGGAATTGTCTACGTGCGGAGAATTACAGATAGTTGAAAATAATAAAAATCTGCTGATTAGATTGAGAAGTAACTTTGCGTTAAAAAATCTAACGGGTATAACGTGACGCCAATCGGTAATGGAACATTTTAGTTAGAAAACTAGTGCCAGGGCGTGAAAAATGTAATCTGATGAAAGAATATTAGAGTGCAAATGCAATTAATCTTCATGTAGAGAGATGACGACGAAACTCGTTCATCAATCGGTTGTTTTACCTCGTGGCGTTTTTTTTCATTTATTTTTTTCTTTTAGGCTGCGAGTTTTGAGAATTCCCCATTGAAACGATAAGACATGATGCCAGGAGTTGCTACCGGCGGAATCGACCTCCCGTGTGTCTCATTGCAACGCATTTCTTTTCAGAACACATAATTACATGCTTTCGAAAGTCAAGAATTTAATAATAAAAATAAGTAATATCCCCGTAGTATTGCGTGCATATTTATATTCATCGATGGAATTTTTCCCGATAATTCTCATACTCTTCAATGATTATTCCTCCAGCAGAGGTGTTCATATTGTTCCACGAAGTCCTCGACTTCTGTTCTTAAATCATTTTCAATCCGTGCATTTGTTGAAAAATTATGTCTCCAAGAGATAAGAACGAATTAGATAAGAGAAAAGTCCATGTAACCGGAGGCATTACAAATAACAAAGTGATGTTGATAATTAATTTCAGGCGATTAATGATAATCAATTGGAATTTTATTCCCTTTCACCACTATTTCCGAATTCTATCGATAGCCAATTAACGTCGATGGAGTTTAATAAATTTATGGACAAGTGTCGACTGAGGTCACTACCAATTATCGGCCACTCTTTCCACATTCGTTCAACTCGAAGAGTGAGTGCATGACTTCGTTAAAAATTTACCGTAATCATGTAAATGCAATTGATGGCTTCATTCATTTTTGACATTACTGAATATTGAGTCTTCAGAATTTTTCTTCCAATACTATAACACTGAGTAAATTTGCGTTATCATATGGGAAGATAGAACTGATTGATTTTCTTAAAAAAAAAAAATTCTGTTGCCACCAATATATATTTCTTAAACGGAGATTATAAATTAAATGTGTTGGATTGATTTGCCCTGTGGCTCATTGACTGTTCGTCACGCTTTTTAATCCAAATTGAATGGGATAAAAGGGAATGTCAAAAAAAAGCCTTTCATACCGAGTCGTAAATGTAATAATCCATCTATCCTCGTCTAGCTTTAGCCTCCAATGTTCCTGGATTAAGATGCGTTGAGACGAGCTGTGAGAAGGCGCCGACACTCTTATCACGTAATTTATGATACTCCTAGGGTGAGGGAGGAATGTTTATGGTGTTCAGCTGTAACGGCCCGAAAAATATCTAGTGTTTCCGTCCGATGAAAGCTAAAGCGAAAATCTCATTTCTCATTCTTTCTCGTCTTTCCCGGTGTTCTTTTTTAATCATGAAAAATGAGGATTTTAAATAACAAAAATACAAAAAATAACAAAAAAAAAGAGGAAAAATTCAATAAACAATTGTTCCGTATATCGACACGGAGTAATCGATATGTAATTTCAAAGTATTATGCAAGCTCCATTATTCATTGATTTCACTAATTTTCTCAATTTTTTAAATGCAAATGAAAGCTTTATTGGATATTGATTCCGAAGGCATTTAATACGATTGCTTGAATACATTTTCTCTCGTTTCATTTGTACCTAATCTAATGGCCGATGACATTGGTTTTACGGTCGAACGGGTTCAAGATATCCGCAGACTTGACGGCAATTAGTTAACAAGTTACGATAACCGTGAGCGCACGGTAATTACAAAAATGATATTTTATTCTGTCAAGCCCGGAATAGAAAAATTTGGCGTTTTTTCTGTTTGAATTATTTTGACTTTTAGGGTAGATATAAAAATTGGAATTTTCAACAACCGACTTTTCTGTACCACAGGTCATAGATTAAATTGCTCTAGGGTACAGGGGCTTGCCCTATTCCATATTTTATAACTGGAAACATTGGTAGAGCGACACTTGTGGTGTTAAAACCCGGTTTATTCATAGGGGGCTGAATAAAGGGTCTTTGTTGGCAGACATAGTATGACAGCCAGATTTAAGACGAGGGACTACAAACTGAGAAAAATATAAAATCCAACTCCAACTCCTGTGGCATTTACCTAGAAAATTGTGAGTTTTAATTTGATTACTGTAAAAATATGAAAACAAGTGGGAATTTATGAGTTTTTCCGGACTCAATGGATTATTTTCTATCAGCGCGTGTGACATGGGAGAAATAAAATGGTGAGTTTAAAACGGAGAAAATAGAATGGCAGTGAGATTTTCAATGAGTGACACGTATAGAAAAAAAAAAGAATAAAAAATGCTTTTCGCCACGGGTGGGCTGTGAGCGAGTTTCAAGACATCACAGGCGTTAATTCAGTAATTCACTGGTCAAACGTGTTGACCAGTGGTTGCGAGGAGCAAAACAAAATCATGGCAAAAAACAGCGACAACAAGTGGATAAAATAGCTGAATTAAATAATCTCGATTGTAGAAAAATTGATGTACACGTTGTGAGTTGATTCAAGCACTTGGAAAATGGAGATGGAGAGATGATTAAGAGGGGCAAATCCCAGGAGCGTGAATTCCATTTTGTTGAAAATTATGTATAAGGGGTTCAATGGAGCGATGAATAAAGACGTTGATTGTCGATCATGCGAGATTACATCGGCCTCGGCTACTTTCAACAGGGAAAAGAAGCGAAAATATACTGGAAATGTGTGAACGAGGAGAGATGAAAAACCCGGTTTTTGAAAAATGGAGAAAAACGAGAAATGTGTCTTGCACATCCATTGCATGCACGGATGAACAGAATCACTTATACCACTTCATCTTTCGTCGAGTCTCTCTATATACGCTCTACACGTAATCCAATAGCTCGAGATACACTCGAATTCCAGCTAAATCTATCGAACCTCCGGGAGACTCACAATTTTGGAAGAAAGGATGAGGAGAAACTTTAAGTCTCTTTCTGAGGATCAAATGACGTGCTTCAGGGATAAAAGAGAGAGAGAGACCCCACAGAGAGCTTCGTGTGCCAGCGATAATGCAAATTTCATTGACACGAAAAATTTCAATTTCATCCTATTCTTCTTCCTTCATTCTCTCGAATAATATCATTATTCAAAAATTTATCACATATTTTATAATGTATTCCAACGTGGGGTGAGTGTGTGATGCATTTTCAATTGATTACTATGTGAAAACTTGTATCAGAATTTCTCAATTACACGGGGTGGATCATTTCACTGATTACTTTATTGATATTCACCTTGTCACTGCAGAGGAGGCTGATCACCGACACGGGGAGGGATTAAAAGATTGAAAAATCGTCGTACAGATTTGAATTTCAACGGGGCATGAGTTTTCAAGTCATCGTGTCCTGTGTCACGTGTCGAAATGCCTCATAAAAATTCACCGCATTCCCCCCGATGTGATAGTATTTTTTATCATTCACTATATCTATAATCAAAAAAACGTCATTATCGTAAATAGACATTAATTCGTAGACGATCGGGTTTACAATTAATTAACTCCATTATCGTTTCGAAGATCAAAGTTAATGACCACTTAAGTCGTGGACTTAGTTTGAGGACTTAATTTTGTGTTGAAATTAGTCGGGCCAAGGAAATGTTAATTGACCCCATTCCCTGGGGCATTTTTGCGCTTCACAAGTCGTTGAAATTTTTCCTTTCAAAATTCTTTCTTTTTTTTTCTCCTTTGGCTAGACGAAATGATGGAACGAGCCATTGAGGTCTCGAACTTCTTGTTCCATTACCCGGAACACTCGTGGATTTGCCTTCGGTGGGGTAATCATTCCATCTTGACGTGATTCTTCGCGCTTCACACTTTTCTCCTCTTTTTTTTAATTCATATATAGACCGACTCTGCTTTTTACCAAGTCAGATAGACAATCTATAATATAACTGAGCACATGCACACTGGCCTGCAATAAGGCGTCTGGATTGAACTCTTTGGCGAACTAAACAATGCCAGTCTTGTTTCAACCAAGTCGCAACGTCACAGATGAATCATTTTACTTTTTCAATCGATTGAAATTCCAAATCAAACAAGACATCCACAATAATTCCCTCTCCTCTCCACCAATCATCAATATAACGAATCGTTATGATATTCAAGTAATTCAAACCGTAATTTAAGTTCAATTTTACTTACATATTATCTACTACTATACTATCATTTATGGTAGCAATGTAGTGATAGCTCTCTTTGAGAAATGGATATAAAAATATTTCACCAAAAAGGAGACGCAAATTCTAATATTGAGAGCTATCGAAGAGATTACGCCATTTCTTTTTGGTTGAAAACCCGCCTCTTCGGGTTCGTGACTCGGGATCTAGCCACCACATGTATAAATCATGCATCCGTAACGAATGATTAATTAAGGCTTTCCGAGAAGGCGTAACAAGTGAAACATTATTGGCGCTTAGTGGCACAGTTTGCTCAACTTGGCTGCCATCACCCCTAATGCCCCATGTCCAACGAGATTAATGAAAAAAAAAATCATAATAGAGTTCATATGAGTCTCTACTACAATTATTTATTAATATTCAAGGTTTCTTCATTAGCTTCACCGTCTGGTATTTTAATTTGTGGTGCTTAACACGTTGTATGTCACAATTTATGGCACTGGTAATGGATTAATAAAGTTTCATGAATATGGGAATTTTAATTTGTTGCAGATGGATTTTGTTGTTGATGGTACTGTCGACGGGATCAGTGGTTCGTTCTTACGTCCCGGAAAACTATCCAATCGAGGTAAAGTTCATCAGTGATAATGATCAGATACTATAATTACTGGTAATTCTATTGAGGGTGGATATAACTATCAGGCGATGTTGAATTGATGGTGGAAGATTGCAATGACGTTTCAATGCACGTAGAATTACATGGAAAAAATAATTTGGATCAATTCCAATCGGAGATCGGAAGATAATTGACGAAGCGATGCGTATCAGCGGCATTACGGCATTACGGCATGAGGAATGAGAGTCTCTTTAGCTTAGCTTTGGAACGGCAATTGCTTGTTCATTCAATATGATTAAGTCCCTTCTTTATGCAGTCAACAGTACACGTCAGTCAAATGAGACATCATACGTGGAAATCGTAAAGTGATTTACAAGTGTCAATCGTGATGGCTTCAATCAATCAATTGATTTGCACATAATTTTTACAGAGTCTGTTGAACCAGTGGGAATTATTGAATCAAAAAAATTAATGAAACAATATATCAAAAATAGAATATATCATATATATCTTATGTCGCACTATTTGTTTAGGTTTATCACATGCTCCAGGAACGATCTCAATATGGAATTGGTCGTGATAATAGAATACGAGGAAGCTGGGGACCCTGGAGCTCTTGGAGCGAGTGTTCAAGACCCTGTGGGACAGGCGTTCAATCACAGGCACGAGAATGTACTCCACCACGGTAATGACACCACGCGAACAATCTTATCAATTCATTGGTCAATCACCACTCCTCTCTATGTAAATTACGATTCATTAATCTTCTTAAGTATCATGAGGGATTTAATTCTCTCGGGAGAGATTTTACAAATTATAGACTCCGAGTCCGGTGACCATAGAATTCACCTCCTAGACATACATTCGGTTTTCCATGGCAGCAATAATACCAAGTGTGATGGAAAAAAGGCATGTGAGCCGTAATGACAGGAGGCGCCAGGAATTTTTTTTTCTTCTTCATGTCCATTTCAATTTTTTCTCCCTGGTGTACCTACACCAAGTGTTTATGTGCTCTCGATGACCGGCCTGGCTTTCCCGGTCATCAATAACAAGTGTTTCTCTTGCGTTGCAGTCGCTCAGTATGTGTCTGTGTGTGTATCTTTCATGAACTTGTTTTCAATATTTTTTCATGTCTCAAGGCGAATAATTAGAGTCAATTTATTGCTGGCTTGAATAAACTCGAGAGATTTAATATTTCATCAATTTTCCTTGTTCCAGAGGCTTGAGAAAAAGGAGTTTACTAAATAAAGTGAATGCAACTAGTCCAAAGCCGATTTGCATTGGTACACATAAGAGATATCACATATGTAATACTCACGAGTGTACGAATTACTCGGGGGATCCTCGAACTGAGCAATGTGCTAAGTACAATAATAAGATGTATAAAGGACAGAGTTACAACTGGGTGCCATTTTTAAACGGTAATAATTCCCAATTGCTAAATAAATTCTCGCTTTGTGGTGACACTATTCTGCAACTACTCTGCAACAAATTATTCAGAAAAATTTAAGGGGTTTTCTAGCATACGTAGTATTCACAATTCAGATAAATTATGATAACGATAATTTATCATTGGTATGCAATAGCAATTATATTGAGCACAATACGAATGCAATATTATGACGAATGAGTTGTTATGATTTATAGCACCAAATCCATGCGCGTTAAATTGCCGTGCAGTGGGTCAACGATTTTATGCGACACTCGAGTCCGAGGTGATCAATGGTACACCATGCGATGGTCCCAATCTTCGGGGCAGAAGTACGGGTTTAACTATTGATCATACCGAGCAATGGTTGTGCGTCGCTGGACAATGCAGGGTAAACACTGTGTAATACTCAACGCTCCAATCCTCTTCATCCGTCTCTCTTTCATTTTTGATTTTCATGTGCAATATACATTAGCCAGTGGGATGCGATGGAGTGATTGGATCCGGAGCTATTCGGGATACCTGCGGTGTTTGCGGTGGTCAGGGGAGAGGATGCAAATTATTTGAGGGAATTTTCATGGAGCCTGTTCTACCGAGAGGTCATCAGCCCATCACCACCATCCCCCGGGGTGCCATGTCACTCAATATCTCGGAATTACGATATACGGGAAATTTTTTGGGTAAATACTCACTGGTTTGTTTTTTTTTATTACAGAATTGCACAGATACCCGATTTTTGAAATTTTTTGTAGCTATGCGAGGTGAGAATGGAAGTTATATATTGAATGGACCGAATTCAGTGAGCCCAAGTGGCATTTATAAAACGGCTGGGACGACTTTGAAGTATCAAAGGGGTGATAAAGATCGAATGGAGAGTATATCAGCGCCGGGACCGCTGAATGAGTCATTGAAAATTGAGATTTTATTTCACGAGATGAATCCTGGGGTTTTGTATAAATACATGTTACCAGCACCCGAGGAGATACCCGAAGACAATGCCATCATAGCTCCACCTCTTTATGCACCAGGTAAATTGTAATTAACAGTAAAATTGTTATCGCTTGAAAGAAAATTTACGTGTCAGTGGATTTATTTGTTGGGCAGGCTCTGGGGTGAGTAAAAGGATCGATACGACTTTAATAGGCACTCCATCGATTTCCGTAAGGTAATCATTCGAAATTTTAAATCTAAAGTTGAGAGGCATGAGACTCCAGTGAAATTTATGCTTTGACAGTGGGGGCAGGCAGCTTGAAACAACACTCACGAGAAATCAGGTAAAAGAAGAGAGTGACGAGTATAGAAATGCAGAAATGAAATTCTCACCAACAACTGTGATGGCAGGAGATGCACCAACCAACATCAAAAATGCATCTGCCAACAAGAAAAAGAAGAAACAGAAAAAACGGACATTCGCGTGGAGAATAATGGAATTGACACCGTGTACAAAATCCTGCGGGGGAGGTGAGAATAAATTATATTGAATATTGAAATAAATGTTTTAGCCAATTTTGCATTATTTGTTGTGAAATTGAGCAGGTATGCAGAGTGGAATATTCAAGTGCGTGAGGGAGGAAACGCAGATGATAGTGGCCAATGGTAGATGTAGAAAATTAGTGAAACCCGATTCGCCGAGGGCATTGCAGTGCAATGAACATCCTTGTCCAGCTGGTTGGAGAGCTGACGCTTGGACCGAGTGTTCTGTCACCTGTGGCACGGGTGTGAAAACACGACGCCTCGAGTGTATTCAACATTTGAATTCCAAATTGACAGTACGCGTAGCTGCAGGTGCCTGTCCTCAACCACCGGACTTGAGTACAGTCACTTCGTGTACAGGTCCACCTTGTCCAAATGTCCAGGTCCGTCAGATGAGCCACATGACCAGCCATCAACGGGATACCACACCCAGATGGCACGTTGGCGCGTGGAGTTCAGTGAGTTCAAACTATAAAGAATAAAAATCAACACTTTTTTAAAGAAAAACAATGAGCCATTCATTGAACTGTATTCAGTGCTCATCAAGATGCGGAAAAGGCGTGAGAAATCGAAGTGTCACCTGCATCACGACCCGTCAGCCCTGTCCTCAGTCGACAAAGCCCGCTGATGAGAGACCTTGTGAGACAGCGTGCAATACCTCTCAGAATCAAACATCTGTATGGCTGTACTCCCAATGGTCGTCAAAGGTAAAGAAAAAAATCCAAACTCTCACAGCAAAATCTCAACGCTAGCTAAAGCATCTGTGTAAATATACTTCGCGATTCAAACAAATCGTAGGCACGACGAATGGAAAGGTATAAAAACATTGAAGCCCTTACGGCCAAAATATTTCAGTACAAACACATCTGTATATATTGATTAAATATTCATATATGTATTTACTCTCGGATAGTTGTTCACATATTTGAGTATATTTCCAAATGACTCGCGGAAATAGATATCCATTGAGAGGCTTGAGTGAAAACGGAAAATTACACGAGTCTACCTTCGAGATAAGAGATGTTAAGAAATATCAACGATTTTTATAGTGTACAGTGCAATATGACCATGAGATAGAGACGAGGAAAATAGCCTGCAGCGATGCCAACGAAACATTGTGCGACGAGGGGAAAAAGCCAGTTGTTCAGAGGCAATGTTCAAAATCCCCTGAAAAGGCCAAGTGGTTTACCGGTCCATGGTCATCGGTAAATATTTTTCTCTTTCTTGGCAGAAATCATTTTGAATAATTCATGAAAAATATAATATTTTCAAGTGCTCCGTCCAGTGTGGCGAAGGTATCGCCCAGCGCGATGTGATTTGCATCGGTAACTCGTCAGGTGAATCAAAAATACTTTACGAAAGTAATTGCACATCACCGAGGCCGCACGCCGAAGAGGCCTGCTACATGCCACCTTGTACACCCGAGTGGTACATGTCCGACTGGAATGAGGTATTTTTTCTCCTCTTATTTACATGTTTACTCGTATTCCCCACCCCCCATTTCTCGTTGTCAATGATGCTCTGACGTCTTTCCTCAGTGTTCGGCTTCCTGTAATGGGGGCATACAGGAGAGAATTGTGATGTGTATGGCGGAGGGTTTGGAAACGATAGGATGCGATGTGAAGAGCGAACCGATGAATCGCCAGTTTTGTAATACACAAACGTGCGCCAAGGATTCGTACGCTCATAAAATCCCTAAAAGTAGGTGATTTTTAAATAATTCAATTGACTCACGTCTATCATTATTATTTTATCTATTTCAGAGGTTCATCCTGCTGACGGATGTGTAGACAAATATCCAAACTGTCAATTGGTAGTAAAGGCTGGCTTATGTCGAATTAAATACTACAAACATTCGTGTTGTGGTTGTCGCCATTAATCCTTTCAATTTCAATTAAAAAGACAGATTAAAAAAAAATAACAATTGTAATTGAAAGTCTGACTCTGCCGTAGCGTATAGATTTTTTTTTCTTTTGTGATGAAAAAAAAAGTCAAAGTATTTCTACTAATTTAATAAACTGTTAAATATAATAAACGACGTGTGACTTATAATTTTTATGAAAGAAATGAGGGCCTTAATTATTCTCGTTGGTTGAAAAATAATTTTGACATGCTCTCAGAATGATTCATGGGTTAGTGCACCTCCTTTACCAGTCCATTGTTCTTTCAAATCAACTTTAAGTCCAAGGTCTCTTAGCGCAGCTCGAGCATCTTCGGCTAGAACTGGATGATTTTTTATTGCATTTCGAAGAACTGCATCAACTCCGTAGGCGACAAATTCACGCGACTCAGCTTTATTTCTCACCGACATATTTCTTATTGCCCAGGATCCTTGTCGTAGTACACTCAAACTCTTTGGAAACTCTTTCATAGCGTCAATAATTATTGATGGAGCACCGCAGTCGTAGAATACTCCAGCATTTGAGGAACTCCGAAGCGTCAGAGCAGAAATACAGGATAATGCCGCTGAAGCAACACTTTCTGAACTCTACAATGAAAGAAGTATTGAATTTTACAAATATATTATTAATTTATACAAGTTTATGATTGTGGACAAGTTACCTTGAATCTACCAATGCTGGAGACAATCAAAGGAGCACTACCATTTGTGACAATATGAACTTTCACATTGTCATTGCCTGCGAGGGCCTTGAGTAGCTTCAGGGCCTGCCAGTTCAATTTCTCTGTGTCAGGGTAATTGATCATTACATCGAGGATGTATGTCAAACCACCTGCATCTTCAACGTCTTGACAAAATTCATTCCTAACGATGAGGGATGCCATCGTCAGCATGAGATCCCCAACCACTGCTTCGTCCTCTTTGAATACTGTGAAAGTAAAAAAAAAATAATAAAACTAATTTGAAAAAAAAATTCACTCCGTTCTAATGGAATATTTACTTTTTAATAATTCCGTGAGTACAGTGAGCAATGCTCTGGCCATTTGAGACGCGTGCTCATGAGCTTTTCCATATTCATGTCTTATGTCATCATCGAGAGTCAAACTTCTCAGCACTCCACAAGCATCTCTCAGCTCAATGTCACTTTTATCCTCCTTTTGTAGAATTTTATTCATTCTCTCGAGAATTCCACCGTTGAATATCGCTTGTCTGTTCATCTCGTGTTTAATGCAGCATTGCTTTATCCAGCGGAGGACAGTTTGTATCGTTGGTACATCTGATTGTGAATCAAGAAGTCTGCAAGTAAAATATATTCCCGAATAATAGAATTAGTATACCAAAGAATACGATGAAGTTATAAAATTTGTCAAGATAATTGCTGTCTAATGAAAAATATTCTTACTCAATTTGTAATTTGACGCCACGATCATCCAACAGATCAGGATGTCCAGTCATCAGCGAGGTCATGGTCTTGATAGCTGTTCTGAGAATATTCAAATCATCTCCATTCTTCATTCGTTCTATGAGATCGAGCAGAATATCATACGCCATCTCCTTGGCAGCGTACATCCTTCTGGCAATATCTCTATCTAATTCAGTCTTAAGTTTTTCGAGTACCTCAGTAATATCATCACATTTTTCATCCTTCAACGAAGTGGATATTTTCTTCAAGCAGTTCTTTATCACATTAGAATTTTCACCAGTGATCACCAGGTCTTTGATAATATTGGTCAAGTCAATTCCCTGATTTTTCATTAAAATAACAAAACGTATAAAAGAACGAAATCCATTTTTCAATGTTTAAAAATTAATTTTGTTCTTACCTGAGCTTCGAACTGCTTCACAGCATCTTCAATAGCCTCTTGTGGTGTCATAGCTAAATCCTCAATATTCTCCTTCACCACTTCGTCGTAAGTCTCCTGTTTAATCACACGCACCATGATTACTGAGTCACTGACTCTCAAGTTGTTCTTTCAATTCTTGATCGTGATTCGACCCGAATCGCCATAAAAGGCTTGAATTGGTGGGCGAATCTCGTGCATTTATGGTGTCACACACCGGTCTGGGTCTGCTCATTTCTCAATGACTTCTTTTTTCGTTTTTTTTTTCCACAACGAGCGACGGTAAACGGTGAATAAACCCAAAATATATACCACATGCCCATGTGGTCTCCGGTTATCGCAACAAGTGTGAGATGGCGTTAGTGGTTCCACCATTTTCAACAAATCATCCTCAGTTTTCAACAACCGAATTAACATCACGGTATGAAACAATTAAATTATTCATTCGATGGGAGATAATAATATTTTAAATTGTGATTATGTATTTCTAAAAACAGCAAATCTATTATCTACTCAAAACTTCATCTTATTCCCGCTATTTTTTGAGGTAGACCCAAATAAGAAATGGCGGAGTTAATCCGGCAGCTCGGTTCGTGTGCCATCTTGTCGCTGATGTTTTCGTGTTAACTAAAGGTACAGAATAATGAAGTAATTAACGCATAATAATAATAACAATAATTATCAGCAATAACGGTGCAGTTGATTATCTTTAAACTGATGAATTACAATATTGCAAGTTGTACGCGACGGAAAAATTATTTTTTTGAAAAGCAAAACTTGAATTCATATTTCAATAATAAATACGCAATGCTGATTTTACGTACGGTTGTGGAATTGTGAAAATTACAAGAGTTACATTACGAAATTGATCATTACCGACTCATTGATAAGTAAGTAAGATGGCGGTTGTGTCATCCAGAGCCGTCTTGAGTTTCCGAAAATGAATTTAAAGTGAATTTATTTAAAAATTCGTGGTACGGAAGGAAATTTGGCATGACCTTGAGACCGTGCAAACCGCGGCCTTTTTCATTCAACACTAATGAGTGATGGGTAATTTGAGATCTTATTATTATATATAAATATGGTCATTAGATATGATCTGTTTTGCTATTAGATTATTTGTTAAAAAATTGATGGGCTCAAATGATAAAATGAATAACGGTTCATATTACCTCTATTGGGATTATATAAATATTTAATTACTTTTTGAATAATTCATTATGATAATGCATGCATGGGGATTGCAATTCGTTTCAAGATTTCGTCAATTATGCGCGAGGGGTTTTTTAATTCGTTGAAACAGTTATGATAGGGCACACCCTCTGCCTCTTTAATCTTTACATCACGACTTTTTATAATTAATTTAGAGCAATGCAGCTCTACCTATTAATGCACGTAGAATGGTATTTATGGTTTAGTGGACACGTCATAATGGGTTGTTCAAGTTATAAAAGCAGAATCTTAAGTGAAACCATGAAAAAATGGTGAAAACCCCTGGGAAAATTGTGGAATTTTAACCGCTCAACGATTATTCGTGGATGGTGTAATTTTAGTGCAGGAAATACCGCTGCATTGCGCTTCATACTGTGGAATTTTTTTGCTTCACGTCGAGGAAGTAATAAAAAAGAGGGATTCTAGTTGACGAGAAAAAAGTTATGACAAAAGAGAAAGAGAACAAAAAGTAGTAAAGCTAAACTGTTTCTGATAATTTTTCCGTAAAGTAATGTGCGAATAGAAGAAATTAATTCTTCTTTGTGATGATGAAAAAACATCAAAGGAGAGGATTTATTAATAACGCAGACGCGTGTTATTTTCCAGGCAACTCTGTCAACTCGAGGAGAAACTTCTTTTTTTATAATTACAGCAAAGCGTAATGATAACTTTAGCTGCATCGACGATACTGTGCTACATTACGCAGAAAAAGAAAAAAAATTAAATTTTCCCAATGGCACAATGACTGGCCGAACGAGGTCTGAATTAAAAATTATTTTTTAATAGCGAGCATTCTTCACTCGGGAATATAACTTTTACCCTTTTTTCCAACGCAAAAACTTACACGAAGAGAAATATTTAATAAAAATTACACGTCTTTTGTGGTTGTATTAGAAAATTTTCCGCAATTGTCATAATTTCTATTTATAGTCACAGAATTTTTCTGGTTTTCTTAATTCCGTAATTTTTATGTGAATTATCTGTGATAAATGACGATATAATAAATTAGGATAGAGTTCCGTAATTTTTACCAAATATTTCCCTCCACACTGAGAGAAATATTCAATAAAAATTACGTGTATTTTCCGTAATTCTGGAGCGAAATGTGGTTCTCGGAAATTTTGCGGAACTGTCACGTAATTTTTATCTAACGTCGCGGAATTTTTTCGCGGTGATCCGTAATTTTTATCTGAATTATCGGTGAAAAATAACGATACCGTGACTTAAATTTTAAAATTTTTCGAATCAACTCCATAATCGGTAAGTGAACTGAAAGTTCCGTAATTTTTACTAAATATTTCTCTCCGTGCATGTACAGACCCAGGGAATATTTTTTCAACGGCGGTATCACGAGTTTTAATTATTTCATGTTGTTACCGGGCTTGGCGAAATGTAAATACAATAGAAGCAATAGAGCTCGAGACAACGAGATACACGACAGAGTGAAGATTCGCTATGTTGGCCAGTCATGGTCCAACGTGAACGTCGCTCCGACGATCGTATGCATATGCAAATTCAAACTGAACAGACCTCTGCATTTGTGGCCTTCTCCAGTGTTACACCCCCTCTTTGCCACCCACTTCACCCCATAACCATTTCTCACAGCAAGGACCTGTGCCCCAATCGCGTTATTCCTGCCTAGTGACTTCTCGACCAAACCTGCCGCGAATATTACTATTTGATTATTTATTATCCCTCGCCCACTATTTATTCATTTTATTTCACTTCACTGACCCCAATTTCACCCCAATCTCACTGCCATTTTCGTAGTTCATAAGATTCCTCTGGCAATCTCATCATGACGGTCGTAAATTGCAACCTATTTGGAATTTACGTATTTCGGGTACAGGCTGGAAGACCCGCCTTGAATACCACGAGGTGATTTCAAACTCTGTTGACCAAATCACCACTTCCGTCACTTAGGCTCCAGTAGTTCAACTCCACCTACAGTCAGACCCGTTTATTACACATTCATCCAATGGAAGATTATGAAAATTCACCTGGGAATTGAGTGATGAACGAGAGTTTTCACAGTTTTCTTCACAATCGACTATTTATCATTCCTTTTTTCATATTTGTTACTAGAAACAAAGTGTCAAGTGGAGAGAACGAATAAATTTATTCCTCGCTGGCTCTCAATCTCAGGAAAATTTCCAACTATTAAAGAGAACGGAATAATTGAATCCGATTGAAACTCCAAATTAATTGATATTTAATTGAAATAAAAGCTGAAGGCGATTATATTTAATCCTGCAGATTATCCCAAGGTTTATTCCCCCAGAAATGTAAATAATTAGAGGTAGAAAAACAAGTAAAAGGAGAAGAGAGTAAAAACGACATTCTGTATGCCGATGCAGTTGTATCGCAGTTTATCCCAGGTTAGCAGTCAGTGGCAACATACCAATTAGCCGTTTTGCATGGCAACTCAGCATGCACAGTTGGTGTCGGATGCACATTTTCTTCTTAACGTAGAAAAAAAAAGAAAAAAACAAGGCCCCAGGGACAAACACCGAGGTGAAAAATACAGGAATAAAAAGAATAAAGAGCAACAGCGAAAGAAGAAGAACAAAAACTGTGAGAATGAGCTACAGTACAGAGTCTCAGGCGACCTCTCAACATGATAGATAACGTCGTAATTCATAAAGCTACGTTACTAGGTCGTCATCCTTTTGGTGGATATGGTGGTGGATATGAGGAAAGTGGGCACGACGGCTAATTTTATAAATCGACCAGTTTCCCTCCGTCGGGATTATCTGTTGCATTTTTGATAATTATTATCGGTGATGTAGCATGGAAAATGGGTGAAAATATGAAATTATTACCGCGAGGAGAAATTTATGGGTGAGAGTTATCGAATAGCGATAGCTGATGAATTAATTCATGAATGTGATGAGAGAATAGGAGCTGAACCTGTCTACTTATACCGGCAAATAGTCGAAGGGCTTTGGAAGATATAAATTAGCGTGGGAGTTTTGGGTCGAAGGTATTGCATTTAAGGGTAGTTGAAAATGAAGGGTGATAAATGGCGGCGTTTGCGCGTGACAAGCTTAATTCACTAGCCTCTTACTCTCTGTGTATATTGTTGAAAGGTTGAGAGAGGAAGAGGACTGTTAAAGTCACCAAGGATTGTGCGCATAGAGGAATAGAGAGAGAAAATGGGGAAGCAGTCTATGGCAGATGCTATCCTAAATTCGGATTACACCATCAGGTAATCCGATTGCAGATATTGCACGTGGAGAGCTCTTGATACCAATGGGAGTTCTATTAGCCCTGGGGATTGATACATACCAATCATAGTCTCAAATTTTTCATTTTTATTACTCATGACACATATCATTGCGGAATTTTCATTGGAGACTACGTTCAAGTGCAGATAGTGAAAATAGAATTAACATGGAGAATTTCCAAAATAATTTGGACTCTTTCGATTCGCTCGGACGAATAAAAACTCGATGGCTCATTTTTTGACGTTTTCAATCCCCGGAATTATCTGAAATTCTCGCAATTTTCCGTGGCTTATCATGAATTTTATTATTCAAAAGTACTCTTAACACTAACTGATCCCCACATCGGAATTGCAAATGATCGATTGAATCGTCGCCCTCAGTATTCAACTTGAGATGGTATATATATGGCAGTCCCATCCCAGCGACTAATTTGATTCTGTGGAAGATCAGGGACTCGATTATTCCGCGTGGTCGAGCCTCGGTTGCTTGGGTGTGCACCACTTTCGTCACTTCTCACAAAGTACCTACTTTATAGGTACTCCCAATACTCTTTCCTTCGAGCCCACATCTAATGCCCCATCAGCGATAAATTTCCAATAATCTTTAATATTCATGATTATCCAGAACCGTTAAACACCTGTCACCCAGTGCTGAAGGGATACATAATCTCAGGGTCGAGTACTGTCTAAATCCGTCTCTTGTGGGCTCATGTTTCCCTCGGTATATCACCTACAGCAGTCTCATCGGCATTATCATCATGAATATTCACTCTTCAAGAAGCATGCATCCTCCATCACAGGCAGTTGAAGGATTTTCACGTAATCTCCATTGTCATATATAATGCCACTCGAACAAATTTCTGGCGATTCTCCTCTATCGTATCCTTTCCGCTTTATCCTCGATCAATTTCACTCAAGACGTTCAATCCGTATTTTATAAATTCATTAACTCATTTTCCAATTAAGTTCCAATCATTTCAGGGCAAGTACATTTTCTCCGCTTGTTAAAAATTTATTTCTACGAGTGCTCAAGCTTTCTTAGGACTTGCAAGTTTCGTTCCCCTGGAACGAAAAAAAACCCAACTTTTGCAATTTAAATAACGCAATATTTAATTCGTATATATCGTTTTTTTATTATTCACGCAGTATATTGGATTAGGTCATAGCTGAAGCACAAGTTGTAGAACAAGTTTATGTTTCTGTGATGATTAAAAGTTCCTTTAGCCGGGTATTATTGACACAGGTGAATGTAAACAAGCGCTAGATGCATCTAAGAAATATTTGAAATTGTCAGAGGTAGAGGGAGAAAGAGAGTCTGTCCAATTAGTGACAACACGTTTGTGCACATATTGTTCACTGGGGACAGAGGACAACTGGTTGGTTGAATAAGAGTGGACGAGTAAAGGGTGGGGAGGAATGAGTTGAGGGGTGAGTGAACGAGGTTGAACGAATGAAGGTGAAGAGGGTTAGACATATACCTAAGGCCCTGGTAACGAATTCTGGACACGTATGAGCCAGAGGTGAGTACGAATGTATCCACCAGGAGAAATGAAGAAAAGACATTTCTATATTCTATACATTCGCTGAAAAGAGACTGGTATCGCTGGTAAGAAATGGAATATATATGGTAGTGATAGCAACGATTTTTGGCTACTGCTTTGTGCTTTCCTTCTTTTCCTGTATCACAGATTCTCATCCACAAGGAAATCCAAACTTACCCCACTAACACTTCATTTTTTTTTTCTACCATTTTTTGTCTGGCGACTCTCCACTTCTTGAGTCTTTCTCATTCATAGAGTCACAAGATCCCCTAGGAAAAGCCTGTCCTTATGGGGGAGATAGTGTCGATATAGTTGGGGTGGAGGAATATATACCGAAATTCAACGCCTTAGGAAGATATTCCTCAAAATACGTACATGTCACGTGGAATAAACAGAGGGCATTGTGCAAATTCAATTTTTCCATTTGTTTCTTCAAATAAATGTTTCATTTCTTTGCTACGATTGGTTTATTTTATGGGATAAATATTTTTTTATTTGTTCGATAATCCGAGTTCTCAAGCAGGAATGAATTTTTATACTGAATTAATGTATAGAGCAGGCAAATTGTTCGGGAAAGGAACTGTGATGAATAGGAAAGAGAGCGATGAGAAATGTTTCATTGAGGGGATATTTCTTCTGCCAAATGATGTAATTAAAATCTTTTTTGTGTCATTCAAATGCTCAGTGAGTGAAACTTTAAAATGTTGAATGAGTGAGGAGAGAGTGCTTTATATTGAGGGAACTAATCGGCTAAAAAGGGTTTTGCAGTAACGTTTCTTATTGGTAATGCTTCCATACCTCCTGAAAACGCACTGGAAACGTCTTTACGTTCAGTGCTACTCGGCTTTTTCGGTAATATCTACAAATTGGATTTTTATTCCAGTGGTATATTGAGGGTGGAGCTTTCCACTGATGACTATAGCGGTTTGTGATTGACGGAGGTACTGAGACTCCAGGAAGTGATGGCACGGATAAGAATAGAATAAGTTGTATAGAAATAATTGATAGTTGTCTATATCAGCAGGGTCTTTAATTTTGCAAGTTTTTTTTTGGAAGCAGTCCTTTTGGTAATCAGTCCAGTCACGTAGATTCGTAAACTTCATTTCCACAAAAGCCACTGGCTAACAAAGCATGACATGCGAAATAAAGGAATAAAAATTATTCTACAAATAAATGTAAACCAATAGCATTTGCCAATGATATTATAATACTGTAATATTTAACAATTAATATTGTATTATCTATTTATATTGGCATTTTTCACTGAGTTCAATTAACTAGTCGGTGAATAATTTTTGCAATTATTAATTAGTGGTGGATAAAAGCCGAAATAAGTAATCTGGTTCTTGCACATTGTCCACTCACTTTTTGTCTGTTGATGGCTTCTCGTAACCTCCTCACCCTGGTTTTTTAGTCTTCTTTGTTCCACTTGGACACTCGACCTTGCCTCTCAACCCACCCAACACCCAACATTCCCCTTACTCCCTTTGTACTACTCATCCTCCCCACTTGTTATACTTTTTCATCTTTCCACTGAGTTTCACTTCACATCACCAAAAGAGCTGTTTTGTCTTTTCGATAGTTAGTGACATTTCCCTTTTTAAAAAAAGCAGGTAACGTTTTTTGTAAGCTTCTTTCGGTGCATAGCGAAGCTATATATATGTATAATGTATAATATAATATAATATACCATTTTTATAAAATAATTATTTGTGTAAGAAAAAAAATATTGTATTTATATCGATATTAGTCCAAAAAAGATTGAATTTAATTGAGGGATAAAAATAGAGGTTTTTTCATTAGGGGTAGATGGATATCCTCCATCGTGAAAATTCCCGGGGAAACTCGTGAGTTCTGAGTAGGGAAAACATTTCAGTGAATACCTCCTCAATTCTCATGCTCCCCTGATACTTTTTGAAAAATTTTAAATTTTTAAATTTCCGTGAATACTTCCTCGGGTTTCATGTTCCCCTGATACTTTTTAAAAAATTTCGAATTTTCACATTTCAGTGAATACCTCCTTCATTTTCATACTCCCCTGATACTTTTTTGAAAATTTTGAATTTTTCAATTTCAGTGAAAACCTCCTCAATTGTCATGCTCCTCTGATACTTCTTCAAAAATTTTGAATTTTTCAATTTCAGTGAAAGCCTTCTCAATTGTCATGCTCCCCTGATACTTTTCCAAAAATTTTGAATTTTCACATTTCAGTGAATACCGCCTCAATTTTCATGCTCCCCTGATACTTTTTCAAAAATTTTGAATTTTGAATTTCAGTGAATACCTCCTCGATTTTCATGCTCCCCCGATACTTTTTCAAAAATTCCGAATTTTCAAATTTCAGTGCATACCTCCTCGATTTTTATACTCCCCTGATACTTTTTTTAAAATTTCGAATTTTTCAATTTCAGTGAATACCTCCTCGATTTTCATGTTCCCCTGATACTTTTTCAAAAATTTCGAATTTTCAAATTTCAGTGAATACCTCCTCGATTTTTATGCTCCCCTGATACTTTTTTAAAAATTTCGAATTTTTCAATTTCAGTGAATACCTCCTCGATTTTCATGCTCCCCTGATACTTTTATAAAAATTTCGAATTTTTCAATTTCAGTGAATACCTCCTCGATTTTCATGCTCCCCTGATACTTTTCAAAAAATTTTCAATTTTCCAATTTCACTGAATACCTCCTCAAATATCATGCTCCCCCGATACTTTTCCGAAAAATTTTTCTAATCATTAAATTTTTCCATTAACTGAAGAATCTTGAATATTCATGCATGCCTCGATTGCGACGAAATTCCAAAGCTGAGATTTTCATAGTCACCCGATAAATCTCGACGGCTGTTCGAAATAGACACATTAATTGCCCATTGTTTTGCAGAGTATATAGATGCGCGCGCACATCGCAATCCCTTCTGCAAACCTCTTCTCCAGGAGGCACTCGCTCAACAACTCAAGACAATTGTCGATAGGCTTATGCGGTAATACTTGGTAATAATTCATTGAAAGACTAGTAGTTAAAAGAGAGAAATAGACCCCGACGGGTCTAGATCATTAATAGACATTTAAGATTATAGTGAAGTTGAAGTAGAAATGGCAATATGCATATATACTATATAGTAGGCGAAAATATTCTGGGGGTAGATAGATGATAGAGCGAATTACAAAATCTCATTCGTCGAATGAAGACGACAGTATATGCGTTGACAGAGGGGTTGATAGTAGGAAATGCTCAAGGGGTGGGGGGTTGATGTTAGGAAAAGCTCAAGGGGTGGGGGGTTGATAGGACTGAAGGCGACAGGAAAATGCAACGGATTCAGTCACCGCCCGGTTCTCGGCGCGCAACGTATTCCGCGCTCTTTCTGCTCACTCCTATCTCACATCGAAAAAAATATCCATTCACCCCTAACTTAATAAAATATATTCATATCACCGTATCATACCCATTGAAAATAGTGCCGTCTAAATACTTTTTAATTCCCCAATTCAATCTTATTCTATTCTATTATTTATTTCCTTTTTCTCCTTCGTTTGGATTATATCACTTGCTTATGCGATTTTATTTGTGACCGGATCGCGATTTCATTATTTTAAGCGTCTAGTGTGACGGATTAAATACTGATTATAAATTTCGTATGGAATTATCTAACAGTGAACTGTGAACTTTTTGTGAGTGAATTGTGGATGACATTAAGGACAACTATTGGGGAAACAATGTGGCATGATAGTTGAGGGTGAGTCCTAGATAATTAATCAATGACTTTTTAAATGATTAGATATTGAAAGTTAATTCGCTGGGTAGGCGTAAAGAGCGGATGATTACTTTGTAATCATAACAATCCTGAGATGTCATTAAATTATGTGTTTTGTATAATGGGGCCATTTGACAATCGACAGAATGCGAAATTATAATTGTTGTTGAGACGGTAGTTTCCCGTGGAAATTCAAGTTGTGCGAATTTGGAAACTTGGTTGAGATGCTTCTAGCTTCCATTCTCTGCTAGGCGATAGGGGAAAGATAATTAATTTATCACAAGGTGCATAGTTGGTATTGCACAAGCAAGTTGCACTCCGCGGAGTTCTAACTGAATTTATACTGCATTCAAGAAATCAAGTGATGGCTTATGTCGGAGAATACCAGGAATAGATTAAAAGTAGAAATATTTCTCGACGTTGACTGCTATACATTACGAAATTATTCGGGAATAAGTTTCTTTTGCGAGGAAACGTTTCGTGGTTGAGAGTTCCATCCAAGTTCGTTCTCTCTATTCAGTTCCTTTCCGTGGGTTACCACCAGAAAAGTCCAGCCAAAACGTCCCAAGGAGAGAGAAGGACCGACATTCGCCATCGCGATTTATCGCAAATTTTTCATTTATTACTGGCTAAATCTAGTGGAAAGTGAAGAAAGCGAAAAGATCAAACGGAGATTTTCTTTTTTATTTACATTTTTTTAGATGAATAGAGGAATTGAAACATTGGAAAAATAAAGCCGAGTCTGGATGGCACTCTACTGGCTTCCGGTCACTTAAAATTGCCTCGGTTATAATTCCTTCTTCTATTACTATTATTTATTCTTTCTTGTACAATGCCGGATATTCCGGATATTGTCTGGATTCTTTCGTTTTAGTTTTTCTTTACTCCAAGCTCACTACTTCTCTGTATACCCCCGAGTGTACTAAAGGAATGCCACAAGTCCCACCAAAGTTCCAGCGCACAACAGTGTCTGTTGGGACGGCCCTTATGTTGTTTCTGTTTTTTATTATTCTATTCCTTTTTCACCGACTTGGTTTAAAGTTGCGTATTTCTCTCTTACGACACTCCCTTTCATTGCCACTTCCTCTCCACCGTTTTATAGAAGCTTTTCCTTCTATTGTCACCGATAAAACGCAGAATTTTGTTTTGTGACATTTTTTTCTTTTTTTTTTCGCCTTTTTCGGTGGCAGCCAAAAGCGAAGACAATGTCTTGTGGTATATTTTTGCAAATTTCGTGGAACTGCTGAATAAAAAGATGAGTAGAGAAATGAGTGGTCTGATTCCATTTGAACTCGAGCACTTATTTCATTATTTTTTGTTCACTTTGTCGAAATTTTGCTTTTCTCACTTGAATCATCCAAAACTTTCTCTCCGCACTTCTGGTGTCCGCAAACTTTCCAATTAAATTCTGGGTAGGAATTCATCCAATTACAATTTCACCTAATTCAAGTGGTTCGATAGCTTTTGCTCTCATCTCTTTTTATATATCTGTAATTTCTGATATTATTGATTCTTCGCGTGTATTAGTTCCGTCTCCTTAGACATCTCAATTTCAGGAAACTCGGGGGTAGTTTATAGGTTTCAGTGACTATTGAGTTTTACTCTCGAGTGATCATCGTCTGTGTAACTTGTCAGATTGAATGAATGGCAGCAGTTGATACTCGACTATTCCAAGTTAGATAGGCAAATATTTGGGGATGACGACCTGCGCGAATATCGCATTTCATATATAATAAAAACTTGACACACTGGCTCGATGTTATGAGTGCATGAAGAGTATGTTGCTGTACTGACTAGGCATACCACAGAGCCATTCCCACAATTCTCTGGCTAAAGCTCTCAAATTTTTCAACTTTATTTTCACTCTTTTATTATTTTTTATTCCCGCCAGTGCTACATCCTGAAAAACTTTTGCAAAATAAAATATTGATGCCCGTATAGTGGAGTCCTGCGGTCTCTCGTTCGTTTTATCTGTGAAGCTCTCTCTTCAACAGTATATTCTGGGAAAATATCAAAACTATGAAAATAAGTGGTGATCATAAAGTCTCAAGTTTGTCCCGTAGTGTTTATCTGCCCGGGGGGCTCGACCCAAGGTTTATACTGCATACTGCTAGGCTAGTCGTAGCTATTTCGATCTATTTATTTTTGTGAAAAGGAAAAAATCTGTTGGAAGACCATTACAGAATATTTAGCCCCTATCTCTTCAAGAAATATCAATTATCCTGTTTACACTCGCTCTATGGAAATAACCGGACTAATATTTTTTTTCACGCTATAAAATAAATAGAATAATATAACACCACCATAAACATTGCTATGAGCATTCCTGCTCCCCAGGAGTCCGGAATAATAGAATGGTTTTTTTTTCTTTCCAGAAAAAATATGATTTATGGATAAAAAAAAAAACCACTGCTGATGTCAAGATTTTCTTTATTTCAACGCGTGGAAATGCACTTTTCATGACACTGTAAAAAACAATGTATACACGCGCTTCTGTAAATCTTTGCTGAGAGCTGGACTCCGGCCAGACTTTTTCTTCGTCTTTTTCTTTTTCAAACAACTCACAACTCGATTGGATCATTGTCTCTGTTTGTTCAATGCTCTAACCTCTGGTTGGAGTAGCTGGGAGGCACTTTTCGATGGTTTCTAACAAGTCCAATATATCCTGCAATCTTTGTTAGCTTAATCTTTTAAATTACGGGAACGAACGAAAGGGTTGGAGTAATGAGAGAAATTGCTGAACCTAACGCGGTTCATTAATTTTCACTAAATTTGACATTTTGGTAAATATATGTTGGCAAAAGTCGTATATTACTTCTGCAACTCATACTCGGGACTAATCAACGTGTAACAAATTTCAGAACCAAGCCTATTCAGAAAGTTCCTGGCGTTCACACAAATTTTCCATCCCCCTCTCGACCACTGGTGCCCTGGAAAATTACGCGTTTCCAAGCTGCCACTGTGTTGGCAAATGAAATCGTACAGTATAGAGTGTAATGGTCACGCTAGCTATTATTCAGTTGAAAGTCAACATGAATGAATCGAAACGATAAATAATGAGGCTCCAGTTCCAATCTGGCTTTTGGTTATGCGAAAAAGCCACTTTGATGCATTTTTGATGAGTGCAAATTTTCAGCGATTGAAAATAACTGCAGGATTAGCAATTCAATTAGTAACTACTCATCCCACTGAGTCCTTGTAGGGCCCAATAGATATTCTCATCAATTATACCAGATCCATCAGCAAACAAATAAATTATTCATTACCATGAAAATTTTTGAGAAGTCAAATCAATGCCGAAATTTTACTGAGAAATTCTTCTGATGTTTCTGATGATTTACGGTGGATGACAAATTTTCGTCCAAGCCACAGAATTTCCGGGTACGTCTGACGTATCTACAGGACAATATCGGTGTCCACTCTAGTGGAAGGCTCATGCAAGGCCATGTTTGTAATTCGACCGCAAGAATTGCACCGGAGTTATCCGTGCAATTCGTCCCGGCACTTGTCGATTTTCACGGAGTGAGGTTTCTGGGTTTGCCCTCATCCTCCACTCTACCCTTATTTTCACCCTTCTACCCCTGGTGAGCGTGAAACTACGCGAGATACGAGCGCCCCTTGATTGCAAAGTTGGAGTCTGGCCACATCGCCGGAAGCTGTGCGACGCCTTCGAGTTAGTTCTCACCAGCTCACTATTTTCTACATCTCTCTCTATTTTCATTTGGTTAGTATCCCATAACTTTAACTTCCTACCGAATCCGTGCTATCACCATTTTTCTCTTTAATTCCCCCAATTTTACCCCAAATTTTAAATCTCTCGTTGTACCATTCATCGACAATCACTGATTTATCAATACTTTTTACTCATTAAATTTTCATAATTCTAAATAAATGATAATACTGGGATTTAAACGGATATGATTTGAGTGTGAAAAAGGGAGCAGAGGTAGTTGTCACTCTGTGAAATAAATTGTCGATAAGCCGGTTGCCGTTTTGGAGGCGCCTGGTGCCCATATTTTTCGCGGTCAACTCGACCGATTAAGCCCGCGGCTTTTCCCTTCGGATATCGAACAATGCATCCACCAAAAGTCTATATGTGATTTAACCCTACGTCATTCTTTCTTCGTTCACCCTTTCATTTTTTCTCCACCCTTTTATTTCCTTCACCCTCGCACACTCGTATTGTTAACGTGTTCACTATTTTGGGCTTCTGCCAGATAAACTCGAATAATACCATCTTCCCACCCTCTCCCTCCCCTACCCTCCAAGAGATAAGGACGATATTCACTCATCCGGATCCGACAAATTCATCCTCCCGAGCTAAACTCAACTCGTAAATATTTTCAAGCCTTCATGTACCTCTAAGTTAATGCTCCCTCCGGATTAATAAAAAATCTCAAATTGAGGAATTATAACTACAAAAAAAATCAGACGAATTATTTGAGTTTTACGTAATCCATGGGAATATCCGTTATATTTTACGCGTGCGGGTGGAATAATAATAAAATTCACTGGGGAATTGATCGTCCAATGGAGCGGATGGAAAATAAATGAGAATTGAAGAAGTTCGTTATATGTCAGAATTGATTGAACGATGGGCTGGCGAGAGAGAGTGGTGGCGGATCATAAGACAGTGTCAGAGTTTATCTCCATTCACTTATATTTTTTACAGAACTTCGGATGTATTAGGCACTTGAGATAGTTCTTTCAGTTCTAGCGTAGCCGTGTACTCGAACAGTTGGTTATCAATTCTGGCTTATAATGATAATTAAAATACTCGTCTTCACTTTCATCTGCAGTATTTCATGGGTAAGTTGGATTATATTATTTATAATCCATCATCATTTCGACTATAATCGTTATCCATGTGCAATTATCAATAAATAATTTTGAGTTTAGACTGGGGATTTTGTCGATGCAAAACCTCCGAGTATATGTCCTGGGGTACCGCACTACAACATTGTTTCACCTCACGGTACGTCAACGATTAGTATTCCTAAAATTACTGATTAGTAATACATGATTATTTTTTTCATTTTTATTTCCATCCATTTTTTATTTTCGGCGGAGAAGATGCGATCGTGCAGGAGTTGCAACGCCGTGGTTTCGTATGTATTAGAAATGAATCTTGTAATTTATTTTTTATAATATACGAACTGAAATTATTAATATTTCAGAATCTGGAGAACAGTGAACTCGATAAACTTAAAATACTCCAAATATTCAGTTTTAATGCTGCAAATGAAGAAAGGGGTTTAAAAATTGTCCATGGATACCTGCAGTGCGTAGATGAAGGTATTTATCAATTGCCACGTACACACTACGCTGTAATTAAATTTTTTATCATTTTTTAGTGATATCGAGAGAAATCCAGGAAAACAAATACGAGGCTTACCTCGATTGCCTGAATAAAAATGATAATGCTAGACTTTTATTTGCGCACTGATGCCTGATAAGTGTTACTAGAGAAATTGTGAAACCAACAATAAAGAATTAATCTCGGAATTTCCTGGGGAGTTATCTGGGAATGCCGTACGAAGATACAGCATTCAATGTTTATTTAACCATTTCATGTCGTTACGAAAATGGAACTTTATCTGTTAATTGTGTCACGTATTCCAACAGATGTACTAGATTGTAATTACGTAAATATTGAAAGCTGGACCATTTGGGTGTTCAAGAAAATGTATTCGTCTCCGATATTTCCTCAATTTAATGATAATTGATGCAAATGATAGTCCACAACATTTGTTCTAGATATAAATTGAATAAACACTCAAAACAACTCAAGTAATTAGATGTACTTATTTCTATTCTTTTTTTTATTCCTTAATTCACAATGATATTCAAAGATTGCACACCTTGTTAAAGAATTTAATTATGAAAACCGCAAAAAAAGTAATTGTGTAATGGAGTCATTCAAAATGTTTGCAAGGTGTTCACCCTGGAACCCACGGTTATCCGATGTACTTAGAATTTTCAAAAGTATGGGATGTAAAAATGAAAATTCCGTACCCTGGAGCTGGTACACCCGAGATGCAATAAATGGGTCACTTACGCTGATGTTAAACGAGTGATTTAACGTGATTTAATGCATGAAAAACGCTGTAAAATTTTTATTTTCGTTATGGAACAGTGCGGCAGACCTTGCTATCTCAATAAATTGCCTTCGGGAGAAAACTTCTGGGGCACAAAAGGGTATTTTTTTTTTGGCGGCGAGGGGGAGGCTAGGGGGCGGCTATGCATTTTTAAAAGGTAATCCCAGGAGCTCTTGACGACTGTTTTTCATCGAGAGTAGTGATGGGGGAGGTGGAAAAAAACTCTGACCTCTGAATACACACGTAGAGATATAAAATGCGTATGTATATTTTTGGGTTATAGCCGATATCGGATTATATATGACACGATATACCATATTTATGGATAGTCGGGTGCTACCCCTGACACTTCACGCTCGTTAATCGATAATACCTCTTGATGATTAATAGTGTGCGAATGCCGGAAAAATGCATCAGTTCAAATCAAATGGTTTTTCACGTATCAACGAGATATATTATGATTTTTGTTGACTAAATGTTTTCCCGTTTTTAATACTTTCTCAGAAGCGAAGATATTTTTTTTTCAAGCACTTTCAATCACAGTTATTCTAATATTTTGTCACTTACTCTTTGCATTTTCGTCCCCCATGTGGACTTATGACGTAAAAGTTTGGAAAGTTGGTTTGAATTTGTCTAGTCCAGCAGGACTGAGTGGAAATTGGAGTGGAATATATTATTGACTGAATGCATTACAAGGTTTGTTTTGTTCCTGGTAGTAAAACTTGGTGGAGTGGGCTTTTTTTGATGATGTCCTCAATCCTCCAGGAAAATTTTTCAAGCTAGAGATTACTTGCGAGAGGTTCGCTTGGTTAACTTACCACAGAAGGTTGAGTTCTTAGACTCGTGAAAAAGCGGCATTTCAAAGGAACATGCCAAACGTTAAAGAGAATTGAGGATGGAGATTGAAAATGCTCTGTATAATGTAATGAAGTCCCCATTGATTCTCCAACGAGGCTTTGGGCTTTCAGCAATTAAAATCCGGAATAGTGACGCTCGAAGTTGAAATTCACCGGGCAAATAATTCACTGTCAGCTAGTCTTGATTTTACGATGGTGGCATTTTCTCCAGTTAATGTAATAGAGATGAAGATATTTGTGAGAATTCGACTGAACTTTCTAATGCAGCTTATTTCATCGACCCATGAACTCGATGTTGCAATTTTCTTCAAGATGTACAGTACCACCTATGGTGTTCTCCCAATCGTGCCACCATAAGATTTCCCCGGGGTCACATGCATCATCTGTACGGGTGTAGTAACCAGCTAACTGTCCCACCAGGGCAAAAAAGTGTAAAGCCCCAGGTTACTTTGTTTCTCTAGCCCTCGAGGATGTGGTATCTCCGTCGACCCAGGCGATATGCTCATGTATCAGGAATGCTGTGACATTACCACACGGTGTTTCCCCTCCCCCAAGTGTTAGACAAATGCACTCGACAGTCCAGACAGGTGAGATCCACCTCTTCTATAATTCATCATTCGAACAACACAATAAATTCGAAATACGCGACATACACTGAGAGAAATATTCAATAAAAATTACGTGTATTTTCCGTAATTCTGGAGCGAAATGTGGTTGTCGGAAATTTTACGGAACTGTCACGTAATTTTTAACTAAAGTCACGGAATTTTTCCGCGGTGTTTCGTAATTTTTATCTGAATTATCGGTGAAAAATAACGATACCGTCACTTAAATTTTTCGAATCAACTCCGTAATCGGTAAGTGAACTGAAAGTTCCGTAATTTTTACTAAATATTTCTCTCCGTGTAAATTGACCGGCAGCATAAGCAGTGGGTGTATTCCACCCCGGAATTTTATACCCCAAGAAAAGATCATCCGAAATGTGCATCCAAGTATACTTCATACTGCCTAAGAAAAGGAGGGAGGTAAAAGGAGGTCAGTGGGATGCGTCGTGACGAACATCTGAAGGAAAAATGAAAAAAAAATATGATAATAAAAAGGTGGCGAAGCTACGGAGTGAAAATAGATCTGGAAGGAGTGAATAAAAAATGAGTACATGCTGTGTGATTCATCCCACCAAGAAATTGTGAAGTGGGGAAGAAGGGAGTTGAGGACCTGAACCACAAGACAAAACTGAATTACGTGTTTTCTACGGTACCACGGAGCTGAACTTTTCCATCTGAAATAAGTATAAATTCAGATTCCGTCGTTGTCGTCCCACGGCGGTACCGTGGGTAAACTAACCACTGGAGCTACACCCTCAAGCACTCGCTATATACCCGGGAATGAGTGAGGAAAGTGCGGGTGAAACAATATGTATCCTTTTTATGCCAGTACTTGAGGAAAAAGTGAGGTTGAGGATAAGGAACATGGACGCCACTCTCTCGGCATATGAATTTCCCAGTATTCTTTACTTCTTCTATCTCTTCTTTATTTCTCTTCTTCTTCATTTATTTCTCTTCTTCTTCATTTATTTGGCTTGCTTCATCCCGTTGTTTATGGTTTTGAAAAAATCATTTCCAAAAATTCATCGGCTACACGGAGAGAAATATTTAGTAAAAATTACGGAACTTTCAGTTCACTTACCGATTACGGAGTTGATTCGAAAAATTTAAGTCACGGTATCGTTATTTTTCACCGATAATTCAGATAAAAATTACGGTACATCGCGGAAAAATTCCGTGACTTTAGATAAAAATTACGTGACAGTTCCGTAAAATTTCCGACAACCACATTTCGCTCCAGAATTACGAAAAATACACGTAATTTTTATTGAATATTTCTCTCAGTGTACTCATTTGATTTTATCTAATCCCGAATTTATCGTTTAATTTTCTGTTTTCACGCGTTTTTATGACTTGATTACGATGAACTACTTTCTTTTTTTCATTTTCTTCATTTTTCAGTCATGACATTTTTTACTTTTACTGCGTCCACAAGATACGCACATACGGTATACACTCTTGAAGCTCTCAAGTAGTGCAGGCGTAATACGAATAGCTTTTCACAACAAAAAAGAAAAATATGCCGTAGAAAACACGCAGTAAACTTGTACTGAGTGTTGCTTTTTTAAATAAACCCTCCTTTATACCACGGAAGAGGAGCATGCCATAAATTAGTTTTATGATATTTCTTCCTTTTACCTTGAAAATTGGATTAATTCGAGGAGCGTATAAACTTTTTCAATGAGAAAAACGCATTTTTCGCGCCAACTTTCTGAATATAATTTAATGAATACAAAGTACTGTCGCTGCTGCATTCGCTATATAATACCATTAAAATGGTATTTATTTTCAAGATTTCCAGCTGAAGATTATGATGGCTGAGAGTCTTACTTATGAGCTGCACCACTTGGTGCACCTCTTGGGTGGGCAATCAATCTTATCGTTCCTCCAATCGAGAGTAGAAACGCTTAGTCATTTGAAAATTTCTGTACAGAAATGCCGAAACAATTGTCCACGGTGCAGAATCGAAAACGAGGAACGATCAGCTACCGTAAAAAAGGTCATGGTTTTTTATCCTAATGGTCTATCCCCTATTCATTTTTCATCCGCCAATTTTACTATTAATTGCTCCAAGATACACATAAAATTATACGTAATTCCTATCAGATTAGTTCGTACGTTCTTCTCTCGCGAATTACAATATTTTAAATTTCTTCTCCGTATCAAGGACTTTTTCCTACACTGTCAAAACGACATGGCTAACCACAGTGTGACCCTTCCTTCACGGTGAGAATTCAATTAGGGTTAATTCTGCCAAAGCTCTCCAGAGACTACTTGCGTGGCTGTTTTACTATCGTACTTTATAGTATTCTGCACAAGCCATACTGAATATAAACCTCAAGATTTATTATTTAAGTTATTACACCTACAAAACCAACTAAATGAGAAGTTTATTATTCACGTAATTCCTTATGCAACTTGAACCCGTGGATTTTTTTAAAATGTCATATACCTCACCTCATGCGCAGTCTTACCAGCAAAATCTTATTTCGTTGTGATAATTCTCCAAGATAATTAATTTCCAGAGCAATTATTTTTAATAAAAATTCCATTAAATTTCAGTACTTGAAATTCAAAATATTTCATACCATCATTGTTATTTATTTATCAATTTCAAATAAATTACTGCGAGGAATGCGTTAATTGGAAATTGATTGATTTTGCCGTTGAATAGGAACCAATCAGGGAAATAATGGAGGGGAATGTGTAGGACGGTTGGGGGAAATAGAAGGCTAATTAAATGGCGTGTTATACGCTAAAAGCTGGTGTCCTAAAGGATTTGAAAGAGGGACAGGGGGGATTAGATGAAAGCGAGTTGTACACGCACATTGTGGCTCAAATGATAGTATCACCGTGGGACAGTATCGTCGTAAAAGGGGTTACAAGGTAGAAAAGTTGAGGTGGGGGTGAAAGAGGGTTTTTGCAAGTGAGCTCTTGCAACCAGCAACAGTCGCTGATGAAATTTCGGTTAAATCGCTTTGAAAATTACAAGGAAATTCCCCAGGATTTTCGGAGGCCAACGGCAAATAGCTATAGGGGGAGGGGTTGGCTGGGATTGAGTGAGTATCGTGGCCATTTGGTATCTGGCATCCAGGCAATTTTCTGTCATTTTCGCCAGAGGGTTAAGGCAAAAATTATTTCACCACTAGTTTAATTGCTTCAGATTTCAAAGAACAAAGGGAGATACCTGAGAGAGACAGAGGTGAAGCCTTTTTTTCTCTCTTTTAATCCTTG